CCTTTTCTCCACTCGCTCTCTGTGTGTGCTGTGCCTTGGTCTCCTCTCAAACGATTTCAGTCGCCAGTTGTTCAACTGCAGGGAAACTTAAATATACTCGTATATCTATAGATACTCGTTGGTGTATGTGTGCAACTATACAAATCATTTGGTTTGCTCAAGCATTAAAAATATCTCATTTCAATTTGTAACATTCTCTCGGTCTCCTCTCCATCTCTACATTTCTCACTCTCTCACTCCCTCACTCTCTCTCTGTCTGTCTGTGTGTTCCGGCATTTGTCACCTTTTGAGCTTTTGGCCTGGGTTTGTTCTGTGATTAATCTCAATTTGTTGCTGCCACATCTACACATCTTGGATTGGGTGTGTCCACCAGATGTTTACACTGGACTCAGTGAGCAGTCTGCGTGTCTGCGGAGGGAATGCTACATAATTGAGATGCTTTCTTGCTCTTTGATTTAATTTCAACTAAGCAAACCGCTGCTTTCTATTAGACACACTTTTCCCTGAACTTTCCTCGATGAGTGAAATTAAGTAAAAGTAATGGAAAGATATCATTTCTCCCCTTGGCATCTACATGCATATATAAATGCTACATGTATTTGCATCTCTTGCTCGCACTACTTTCAGCTGAGTTAAAACGGCAAAGCAGTAGATTTTCAATGCAACACCGAGGTTTAAGCCCTTACCTTCATCTTTTATACGTGTACTCTTTCATTCTCCATTTATTTTCTTCATTGTACAGTTCAGCTTCCGAAAATTCAGATTTTTGCAGAACACAAAGAGAACCTGGCCCTTTACTCACAGATTAAATAGGCGTGGCCCAGCAGTTCCAATTTTGTTGACTCCATGGACCAAAGACCAAAGACAAAACCCAAATAAAATGGCCCGACTCTGTTGCTGTCGAACCAAACAAAAGAGGGAATCAAATTCATGTGCGTATGTCACTTGTGTATACATACATACATACATACATATGTACATGTATGAAGATTTCTTTCGTTCTTTTGTGCGACTTGCACCCATTCATAATTGGCTGGCGGCTGGCTCCGAGCTCAACGTAGCCAGAGATTTATTATAACAAACATTTTTGGTCATCTGTCTGGACAGCATGTAAGATTATAAGTAAATTATACGCTTTGTTGTTTGTTTGGTAACTTAAAATACAAAAAGGGCAAAGGCAGGCAAACTGTAACGAGAACTGATGATTGCAAGGGCCAAAGGATTGGCGATAATGAGCGCTATGGCAACGCCAGGAAACAGGACCCGGAATACAGCAGCTGTTTAGCATTGATAAAAGCCTTAAAATAACCAAATTCCATTAAATGAAAGCCAATTTGGTTTTTCAATGAAATTTTATATATATAATGCAAATACTTTATACTATACTACATATCATGTATGTATGGTGGTAAACTTATGAAAATTATCGCCTCTCTTGCTCTCTCATGCCGGACATAATGCAATTATGTTGAATGCTCTGTAAAAGATCAATCAATGCATCATTAGCAGTATTTTTTGTGTCTAACCCGAAGCGCAAACAATCAGGATAGGCAGCGAAATGAAATGAGATGATCCTGTGTCTCCCATCCACCGTCGCACAAAGTGTAACATGTGCATACGGAATAAATATGTACAAATGCATGTGCATATGTTTTTACAGTCTGTACAAATGCAACTAATCCCGTTATGCATTAACGTATTATTTTAAGCGTAACGTAACGGCTTTTGTTGATGTGTTTTTAGTTTTCCGACTTTCTAATTACAGTCCAAGCCATCGTATTATGATTTTTCATAGCCAGAGCCAGTGGCAGTACCAACCACAATATCTGTATGTACATATTTGTTTTCCAGGTGTATGGATGGATAGTTCGGATGTGGAGGAGGGTGGCATTAAAGTTGAAGAGCAACCACAGTTATGCCAAAACATCCTCTAGCGCATACACACGTGGAGTGGTGTGGAGTGGTGTGGAGTGGCGTCTGCTCTGAGGATTGTACTATTTACGTTTTGTAGGAAAGTCATAAAAGCGTACAAACGAAGCAAGCAAAGAAGCCAGCCATTCCGAAGCCAAAGCCAGGGCAGAACAATAGAATTTGTTACCAATTAAATGACTGCATTACATAATAATAACAATAACAATAAAAGTAACAGCAAACACAGGAACACACCACCTCCAGCATGTGCTCTACGCATGTATGTATTGTATGTCATGCTCTCATGACAGACGCGGAGGGGGGGGGGAATGAGTGTGAATTGTTCCAGGTCTTCGGCGAAGCCAAGCAAATATCTACGCACACACAAGCATGGGAGAGTGTTGTTCAAGCATCTCCAGCGGCATATTGGTTGTCAGAGTAACAGGAATCAATAGCATGCCAGTACGGAGAGTGTGGGTGGGCGGGAGAGAGCCAGCAAAGAAGCTGTCTTTATTAGGCGACAACAACAGCAAGAAAAACAAATTTGTATTACTTCATTATGGCAATGCTTTTGATTTGACTTCTTATTATACCCTAGGGCGAGGGAGGGTACAGAGTACAGAGTAGGAGCCGCCTGCTTCATTCGCATCAACTGCATCCGTCTTTACGATTGAAGAGCCTTGCTTTAGATATCCCGGCCAACATGCTACGAGTATATTGGATTTTGGATCAAACCTTGGATGTGCAAGTGTATCATAAGGTTCGGCGACCAAACAAAACCTACCACCTGTCGTGTTTTCTCTCCTTATCGTTACGTTTTCATCCCGATTTTCCATGCCTTGCTGGCTGGCTTTGATTCCATAATTTGTTTAGGAATTTCCATAAATTGAATTTTTCCGAAATATCCAGCACTAAGTAATGGAATATGAGTACATGGGAATATGAGAATATGAGAAGCGGAATGGAAAGGGAAATGGCAATTAAAAATCAAACTTCAAATTCTTTTTATATCAAAATATATATAAATGTTTATTAGTATTCGCACATGCATATACCCTGTACGGGCATATACGAGCACTCGTAATTATAGGTATTTTCAATAATTATTATAATTATTGTGGGTGTGTCTGTGTTTGTCCTGTGTGGAGGGTACAACTCGCTTCAATTTAAACCAATTAAATGGCAAACAGATTGTATGTAACAGCTACAGATAGTCACATATCGTATTGTATATATATGGTATTTATTGATGTGTATACCGCACATTATCTTATTACTTTTTGTTTGTTTGAATATATTAATTAAATGTGTTATTCACATACCGACCGACAATGGCCAGGCAATTATTATGCATCGATTCGATTTTGTATATTTGCATTTTGTTAGTCAAATTCCGATTAAATATTTTTTACCTTATTTACTTACTTGCATATGGGTGTGTGTGGTGTGTGTGTGTGTGTCTGTGTGTGTCTCATAATTTAATCTGGTTATGGATTTCTGTTTTTAAACAAACAAATAAAACAAAAATCGTGTGTGTGTGTCTTTGGCATTTTTTTTATTCAAAATAAATTGATACCGTTGTTGTTGTTTGTTTGGTTATTATTGCTATTGTTTTTGCTTTCGGTTGCTCTATTACAAAGTACCAAATGTAAATCATTCAGCGATTGAGCCTTATGCAAATAAGTTAATTATGCTTAATTTAATAGGCAATTTTTCCTCATATTTGCATACGAGTAAAGTAATTCAAATTCTCTTCATGCAATTATTGCTCTAACTTATGGATTGGATGGGTTTTCATCGTATAAAATCAATTTCAATCTACGCGCTACAGATAGTAGATATAATTCATGGGTTCTTAAATAAATATAAAAAAAGCTCCATTGTAGCACAGGGCCATGGACAATGGTCCGTCCGTCCAATTTGGGGAGCTGGTATAAATCAATTTTTTTGTTAAAACTAAGTTCTACATACTTTAAGTAATCATCTCGTATATATATTAGTTTTTGTGTGTGTGTATTTTGTGGATATGGTTTGTTGGTTGTGTGTTTGCTTGTTTTTTTGTTTGTTTGTATGTGGGAAGCACTTGTGGGCATTTAGGAATTGATTTGTATTACAAAAAACGGCAATTTCGATTCTATTATATTGGCAGCTCTATTGTGGATTTATTTGCATTCTTAAAAGTAAACATAATCAAAGCGCCTCCTCGCATGTCCCTTGTTTCTGTTCTTCCTTGCAAATTAATTACAAAATACTAAGCTCTTTTTTCTTGTTTTTCCCCATCAAACAGCCAGGTGAATGCTTCTCCTGGGTTGCTGGTGCTCCTCTACTCCAAAGTTCAACTAAAATGTTGCAAACAATTCAGCTTAAGCAAATATTAAGCGGAAAGTCCTGTCGGTGTATAAGCATGCATAAAATTCAATGATAAAACGTAAAAGAGCAGACAAAGGACATGCCCTAGATGTCTTGCACCTAGCTTAGTCGATATTACGTTGGTTTAAATGCTATGCTTAAAATGGGCTCGCGTGTGTTTGTCGGTTTTCTTTTCTCAAGCTCTAGCCGCTTGTCTACTAAATTGCATTACAATGCGTGTTGGATGTGAATGCGGTTCGTGGTGTACGTATAAATTAGAGTACATACTAAATAAATAATATGCTGAATATAGTAGTGTGTTCGTGTTGTTCGGTTTAGTGTTTAGTGTTTTTCAAATGTGGTTCTCGCTCTTGAAGCTACAAAAGTGTTGGCCAGTTGTTCGCACTGAAATCGTTAATTGATTGTTTTTCTTTCATGATTAATACAAAAACATCGTCCGCGCTCATTAAATATCCTTATATCCTTCCTCTTCAACATTGAGTAACCTTTGTCTGCCATATGGAATATCCTATATCCTTTGCCTCCCTTCGAATGCTTAGTCCAAAAAGAAACCAATCCGCACTTGGATATATACAAAAGAGTTTTGCTTAGTTGCATATACATATAAGTTGTGCCAAATCGGTAGATATACATACATACATACTCGTATGTATATATTGTATGATTGTATATATATAGATTGTGTGGTTAATACGTTGCGATTGTTATTATTGTTGCCGTTGCCGTTGCTGTTGCTCTTTCGGTTTCTGTTGCTGCTTCGTTTGCTGCCGTTTCTTGACACTGATTTATGGCGATACATATGGCGGTGGCTTGCGATAGGAGGGCGTGGCCGGTGACTTCCCTCGCACCTCCCGGCCGCCCACAACAACAGCCGGCGGCGGCACATACTCATCCACATCATTGTCGCCTGCAACCAGATTTGCCAGAGATTAGAGTTTGAGTTGAGGAATGGGTATGTGGGTATGTACACGTACCATTCATGTTTGAGGTATTGTAGGACGGTGGCAGCAGCGGTGGCTTCTCGTCTTTGAGTATTACGGGGCTCTTGTTGCCGATTTCGGGCTTCTCCTCATATTCGTCCTGAAAGATGACGGGTATGCCCTTGGCCCGGAAGGATTTGCGCTCTTCTTCGTCGCCTGAAAAGGAAACCAAAATTGAATTTGACTCTGGATGAAATACACATGGGAGGGAATGGGTGGAAGCCCAACCCGCTGCCGTACCAAGCTCCATTTTGCCGCTCTTGTGGCGACGCCTGTGCAGGCAGCAGGCCACGATAGAGGCCAGCACTATCATGACCAGAATGATGACAGCCGGCAGAATGAAATTGGCCAAGTACTCCTCGCTGAAGGTGGACTTCTGGCTGGGCTCCTCAGGGCGCGTGGGTACGAGCTCGTGCTGATTGATGTCTATGTTTTCGGAATCTGCAAAAGGAAAGGAAGGGATGCGAAGGAATACCAAATTAGCTCTGCTTCCAAGGGGAAATCTGTGCAGACATTCTTACGATGACAACTGCCAAAAGGCGCCACCGAAAAGTTGGTTAGATTCAGCTCCGGTCCCATGGCCCGCTTCACGCTATCCCTCAGGCTGTCGCCGGCCAGATATACACTGCGAGTGGCCGCCAGCTCCTTCTCCGGGCAGCGGTTGTGGTGCTTGTACAGCGACGTGTTGTAGAAGTTCACAATGGTGCCGTCTGAGTCGTGGTGAATGTTGATGGAACGGATCTGGATTTGATTGGTGTTGGCGTCACCGTTCACCTTGGCGATGCGCTCCACAAACTTGCGCTGCAGCTCTGCATTGAAGTTCTCGTGGCGAATGGACAGGTAGGCCTTGAAGAAGGCCCCAAATTCCTTTTTGGGGGGATGGCTAACTACTACGACGAGGGCATCGTGGGCACTGAGACCGCCGCTGTCCTCCGCCACCAGCAGGTACTCCTCGGAGCCGGTGTCGCCACCCTTTGGGATGCCGTAGAACTCCTGGTTTTTCGAGTCGAACTGCAGCCAGTGGCGTGTCCCCAACTCCTTGTGCTCCTTGGACTTGAGGGTGAGCGTCAGGTCATTATCATTGGCATCGTAGAAGGTGTCTGGCGGCACCTTGAACACCAGCAGTTGTCCCACGCTGGCGTTCACTCGATCCACTTGGTTGCGCGGCATCGGTGGCACGTTCTTGGCCATCTGCATGGTGGGCTTCACCTTCGTCAGGTCCTTCTGGCAGGATCCAATCAGCTGGCCAGTGATCGACTTAATGGCCAACAGCGGCTGCACCAAATCGCTGAGACGCTGGGCATCCAGACGGCTTACAAGCTCGCTCAGCTCCTTCTCGGGGCAATCGCTTGTGGGCAGGGTCTCGTTGAAGTACACGAAGATGGCGCTGTGTGGGTCCAGCGGCGTTGGACGGATCTCGCGCACCACCACCGCCGAGCTGTTGTCATCATCCAGGGTACGAGCCAAGGCATTGATCAGCTTCAGCTGCCAGTCAATGTTGTGGCCGCTCTTCCCGTTGATCTTCACGACAACGCTGATCTCGTGGTTGATGGTCCGCACCGCACGATGCTGCTGCACGCTGATCTCCACCGTCTCCGTGACGGTGGCATTGCCCGAGTCAGTGGCAGAGAGACGATACTGCCAACGGGACACTGTGTCGTCCAAAGGTCTGCAAATGGAGAGAACGGACCAAGCACATTAGAGACTTTCGTCCTGCATTGCCATAACCCCCGTTTACTTACAGTCCGTACAGTTCCCGCTTGTCAGCATTGAACTGCAGCCAGGAGTTGGACTTCAGCTCGTGGCCATCCTTGTCGGTGAGCTCCAGACGCAGGTTGCCCTGATCTTCGGCATCCCAGAAGGTATCCTCGGGCACTATCATGGTGAAAGCCTTGCCCGAGGTCACCGCCAGCTTCTGCAGACGCGTCTTGATAATCGGTACACTGTTCTCCGGCTGTGGCTCCACATAATCCGTCGACGCGAATGTGCTGACGGTGCTGGTCGCCTCGGGCGTGGCACGTGTTGTCGTGGCCACCGTGGAGGGGGGCACTGAAGAGCCTGGTAACAGCTGCTGTCGATAAGAGGGATTAATAGGGATTTGAGCGTTGCCAGGGCCCCTTGCTGTAGCCCATACCTCATTATTGGCTAAGCTGCCGCCGCCGCCGCTGCTGTTATTATTGGGGGTGCTGATGGCATCGGCCTCTCCTTCCTGGGAATTACAGGTAAATTATAAGCATTGAGATGACTAATTGATGCCAGAGGGCTGGCTCTAAGTGTCATGCTGAAGGAGTCTGCGGCTAGGAGAGGCAGGCAGAGTTAGTGTTAGTACAACATCCAAGTACGAGTACAAAAACAGCAAGGAATAGGTATGTGGGTGTGGGTGTGTGTGTACGTAGAAGGTGGACATGCAGTTACCAAGGACCCCATGCAGGAGTTGGGGAGGAGGCGCACTCTGTTTCGCTAATTGCCACATGCTGCGAGTAGGTGCATTTGGTCGGAAGGAATGTTCCGCGCTTAATTGGATGCAGGACAAACCAGCGGACGGGTGGACGGGCGGTGGGGCGGAGGGGGGGGGGCGGAGGGGGTAGTGGTGCAACATCTATGGATCGACTTGTAAGCTTAACAACTAAATGTTTGCAATTGCAATGCAAACGCGATGCGGCATTTCACCTTAGAACTAATTGTGCGGTGCGTTGCTGTGGACTCTACTACGTGAGCATCGATTTCGCTGGAGGAGGACGTTCTGGCTGTTATTGTTGCAGCAGCAGCAGCTGCTGCCGTTGTTGGAATCGTTGTGGCATCTTCATTGTCTTCGACGGGCGGATAGCTGCTCAGCTCGAAATCATTTACATGTGGCTGCTTTTTGGTTTGAGTTTCAACATAAATTTAATATAGTTTTCTTTTTCTGTAGGGTCAAAACTAGCAGCAAAAGATCCACACAACACATTTATCACCCGTCCTGCGCCTGTTTACCTCCACTAAATGTTAAACCAGCATGGACTATGTACAAAAATAACTGTACGAATGAACTGCAGAAGAAAGAGACTAATTTTAATCCTTCTGCCTTCTGTCCACAGTTCATTCTGCTCGGACCATCGTTTGTCAACACTAACTGCCAAAAACAAAAACAAAAACGGAACTGCAGCTAAAGCATATAAAATGTACATATACTAGTATATATGTATGTTTGCTTGTACTATATACACAATTATATTAACTATGTTTATCTACTTCTTTATCTAGTTTAGTTTTTACTAACATTTATGTACAGAAAGAACTCCACTAAAAGTCTTTTATGACGGCAAAACACGAATGTTGTTAAGCCATTTTTATGGAGTTAAACTCTCATTTTACACAGGACAAACGCCAATAAAAATACAATATCAATAAAAACAACTAAAGCAAGAGAGTTACACATTAAGAGACAGACAGAGTGAGAGAGAGAGAGCGAGGGAGAGGGACACAGAGACAGAACTAAGCTAACTCCTGGCTGTTGGAGGAGACACACACACACAGAGAAGTGGGAGGGAGGACAACAGTTTACATGTGACAACGACAAGAGACAAGAGAGACAACACACACACACAATCACGCGCGCGCACACACAAAAGCGACATCATTTACCTTTGGCGACATTTCAAACAGTGTTGTTGTTGTTGTTGTTGCTGGTGTTGTAGTTGACATTGTTGCTGTTGGTGTGATTGTTGTAGTTGTTGCAGATGATGATGATGATGAAGTTGTTAGAGTGTTGTTGTTGTTGTTATTGCGGTCTAATACAATGCCTGTGTTGGCGACAATGTGAGAGGATGGTGATGAGGATGGGGAGGAGGAGGTCCCTGTTGTCGATGCAGAGGTGGACATGGATGGCAACGAAGACGTTTCAACAGCTTCGATTGATGGCACAACAGAGGAGGAGGCGGAGGAGGACACTGACACTGAGGAGGTTGCATCATAGGGTGAGAATGGCTTCTGATTGCTGCTGCTACTACTGTGCTGTGTGTCGGCAGATACGGACCCCGATATGGGTGGGGGTGTGGTGTTATCAGCGGTGCTGAGTGTGAGAGCAGCATCCACATCTACGACGGCGACGGCATCCACCTGATTCCCTGATTCCTTCTCCAGGTAAGTGGACTTTACCATATCCGTGGCAGGGCCAGGCATCGCAGTTGTGGCTGTCGTGGCAGCCGCTGTGGTGGTGTCCACATTATTTTCCTGGAATTTGCCTGGAACAGCGCCCAATGGCCTGAAGCTCCACATAATCCCCATCATCATCGTCAGCACCAGCACCAACCTCATCGACGGGCGATGGCCCGAGCACGGGGACCAGCTCCTTGATATTCTTCGTATTCTCAATGGTCTTGCTTATCACCGACTCCAGCCTGGAGACACTCGCCTCAATTTCCTCCTCTACACTGGCCACCGAGGGCGTGGCAGATGCAGAGGCAGAATCACCGTCCGACTTGTGTTAGTCGATGATTCGATGTTGTTAGTTACGATTAGGATTTCGATTTCGATTGCAGTTTAAATATTTTTACATTCATCAAACAAATGAGAGAACGAGAGAACACAATGAGAGCGATATATAGACAGAGAGAGAGAGAGAGAGAGTGAGCGAGAAAGAGATGGCAAAAGAGAAGAAAAAACGTATACACCATATGATGAATTACAGTTAGTTATACTCGTATGTATGTAGTGTAATTATGTAATTATATAGAAATCGGATAAATGTACATATGTATGTATTTGTATATAGTATGTATGTGTAGGGTGTATCCGTTTTCCATATATTGCAATTTGCAAGGTGTATTTTTGTGGCTGTGCGAATGTTATTAACAAAGTGCAGTGTTGTAAAACAAACAGAAAATATAACGTATGTATGACTTCCGGAAATAATAACGGAATCTCGACTCGTATGCGTTTACACATAGTTCAACACGATCCACAATGCATTAACCTCGGAGTATTCTCATTTAAACGGATAAACGAATAATGAAAAAACACCGAGAATGAACCAAAGTAAATATTGGGAATGTGGCAATAACCATTTGAGTAATCAATCGGAACACTCACCACTCCATGATGATGACGATGCGCATGCGTGGTCACCGCTGGCACTTCCGTGCTTGGCTCACTGTTTCCCCCCAAAAATAGAATATGAAATGATTATGACAGATACTCGGAAGCGGCGACACAAGAGCTGCAGTAGCTGCAGTACTTACGAAACTTCCTCGCCTCCCTCATCTTCATACTCGTAGTCATCATCATCGGCGCCAGAACCCTCCGACTGACGTCGCCTGCGTTGGGATCTAGAAGTAGAAGAAGTAGGATCGTCAGGGAAACGCTCTGTCAATGTGATTTATGCACATATCTCGGGTCACACGATGCGCACATCAATGAGCATTATTTTTCATTCAAACTAGTTTATTGCTTCATTGATTGATGGAGCATCAGCTAGCGGATGTTCTGATGTTTCTTGGTTCTGTACTGGACCCACCTCGACTTCAATTCCTTGCGCCAAATAAACCAGAGACCAAAGTTCTCCTCCGTCAGAGCGCCAATGGTCCCGTCCTTCACCTGGTGGGCAATCTGCTTGGCTATCGGCTCACCCATGACAAAGTAGCTTGGACCACAGCCGATCTGCACAGAAGATACCGAAAGTTATAAACGAATGGAAACAGTAGAGGAAAAATACAAACCATGAAACTGGCGCGTCCCAGCCGACGATTCAGAGTCTCTATATTCTTGTTCCCCTTGCCGCCCTTCCTCATCGCCAGCTTGTGCATGGACCTGAGCTCCCGCTTCGACACCGAATCCAACGAAATGAACTCCTATTTTGGTATAAAAATACAAATTTAAATACTGAGACATGTCCTGAACATATGTACATGCAGCTTACCTTGGGTATGGCAAAGAATTTGGCCAATTTCGACTGAACATGGGCTCTCTTGGTGGCCGTCAGCTCGCTCCAGTCGTGCTTCTTCAGCAGCAGCGATAGCACAATCTCGTTCTGCTGGTTCTGGCATCCCATCAGCTCTGTCACATAGGGATCCTGCTTGTAGGCGGGCACATCCTTTGGCTCAATGACAGGCACCTAAAATAAGCAAAGAGAGAGAATGTTGAGTGGGGGAGGGACCATGACAAACCACTCTTTGCTTTATTGCTCAAGCTATTATCGTAGCGACGACAATCTAATCGAATCGGAATCGGAATCGTCGACTGCATAATTCAAATGAAAAGCGTCATGCATCATCCATCAAAGTTAGCCAGACAAGCGACAGGACAGAGTCAGAGCGAGAGACGCAGACACAGACACTGACACAGCCACAGACCGGTTGTTCTACAGTAAATGCTTGTAGGAGTGCACTCTTGTTTTGAGCGGCAGTCGAATAAGGAAATAGTTAACAGATAGCTTCTACAAGAACTGTTTGTTTCTGCTTGTTTCTCTGCCAGAATTCGTGGATATTCCCATAAAAACGATTGTAGTAGGACAAATTTTAAAACCTCATAACTTATGGTACATTCATGGGAAGATATGGGAAGATAAATTCATGGGAAGATAATCGAATCGAATCCAATCCATTAAAATACTTGTAAATGATGATTTAAAGTTAGATTATTCATAAATCTAACAAACTATAATATAATCAGACCACCTTTATCACATGGGCTGTCATGGGAACTCGTTTTGGCTATCTTTTACAAATTCTCCACTGAGCCTAGACCCCTTGGGTGGGGTGGTGGAAGCTATCGCCCATTACTCACCTGAGAGTCGTTCACATTAAAGTCGCGCTCCGCTTGCACCAGGGCGAGGGCGATGGCGACGGCGAGCAGGAGGAGCAGGCGGCTTCCACTGACCGATAAGCACCGCGACAATCTCATATTTCGATTCGTTTTGGCGATTGCCCAGATATGTGTATATATGTATGTATATGTTTGTGTGTTCTGTTTTGTGTGTAAAGAATGCAGTTTCGATTTCAATTCACAGAAATATTGTATTATGTGGCAGTGGTGGGGTGGTATTTCTTTCGATTTCTTTTGCTTTCGAGTTTCGCTTTCGTTTCGGTGCACAAAAGTGGAAAGAAAGAGGAGAGTTTGCCGTTTGGCTTCGTTTACATCATCTTCATTAGCAGAGGAGTCGTCGTGGTCGTCGCTATCATCATCGTCCGATGATGATCATCTGCAAGTGGAATTAATGGGAATTTATTAAACATATTTTATCGCTTTGAGGGGAGTGGAGATGAGAGGAGAGGGTGGGTGCTGTGTGCCTATGCTAATTAAACGTTCACTTGGGTTCGCTGACCCAAAACCCGAGGCCAGACCCATCCCCCGGCCCAAACCCAGGCCACAATTTGTGCCTTGAGCATTATTTATGTGTGCCTGTGTGTGGATGTATATTGTTGCAACTCTTTCTCGCTCTTCTCTCTGTAATTAACATAAACAACTGTTAAGTGTTGTTTTTGCTGTTGTTATTTTGTTGTTTTTCCTGTATTTGGGGGGAAAATTAACGCCCGATGAACAAGATGCACATGATCTTTTTTTTTGGTAATTGGAGAGACCCCCGAGACAGACAGACAGACAGACAGATGAAAATGGAAAGTTCGACTTGGAAAATGCTTAATTAAAGAGATGTTATCAGTGGTGGGGGGAGTGAAGGAGAAGTATGAGTAGACAATTGATGTCTGATTGATTATGAATATGTAAACCTACTATAATATGCCCGGTGGTTGAATCAATCAATGTTTTTCAGTCCCAACAAATTCAAATTATTTTATAAGATAATTCTTCTACAATTATCATCGAATATTTATTCCACACAAATTTTAATATTGATAAATCCCAATTATCCCATAGAACAATGAAAAGTATTCTACTCATATTTCACATACATTTTGCATAAGAACAAGTATTTCCCTTTGATTTAATTGGGTCGCTCCCTCCACAAACTCTGCCCCGCACGCACCCCTGCATGCTGCTGGAATTCCCATAAATTTGTTAATCGCTCATTGAGCATGCATCCCCAACGCTGCCTGCTCTAAGCTGTCGGCTTATCATCTGGATTCTATTTATGGATTCTTTCCATCGACCGAGCAAAGTACGGGGTACGGCACGGGGAGCACTCCCCAAATAACTTTCAAATAATCATTCAGCAAACACATTATCGGTCTACTCCTTCTCTTCACAGCGCAACATGTGTTGGACATGCCCGCTTCTGGATGGATGGATGAATGGAGGGGGGCTGTTGGGGTGTGACACACAAAAATGGGAACACAATTGCATACAAGTTTGCAGCATTCCTTATGAATGGGGTTAACATTTCAACTCGGGGGCAGTGGAAATGTGCTTGGAAAACGCATAAAAATGCATGTTAAATGCCGTAATTGAGGCAGACAAGCCACAAATATGGCAATAATTAATACGGCAACACCATTCCATTGGAATTGAAATGAGCAGCGATAAATGACAGCCTATGCCACGCAGATTCCATTCAGAACTCCAGCCACAAGAGAAGAGCTCGTGGAATTTCATAAATACGAGTAATGGAAAATAATAATTGCTTTTGCATATGCCGCAGCTAAAATATCATTTATATATTCTCTCTTATTTTTTCTGTAAATATCTTTATTTGTTTTTGTCTGCTTTCTAGTTAAATTTAATTGAAGAGTCCGCCCCGAAGCGACCCGCCTGGAATATCAAATGCCCCCTCATGGGGGGCGGGGAGGGGAAGTGAAGGAGCAAAAAGTGTCAGACGGCAATATGGCACCAATACATATTTGTCTCTCTCTCTCTCACTCGCTGTCTTCCCTCTCTATGTATTGGTGTGCGTGTGTGTGTAGATGAACTTAAAATGCAGCGAAGCATGCCGGGCCATCAGTCGTTGTACCCCTTGCACACACACCCTCCTCCTCCTCCTCCTCTTCCTCCTGCACCACATCAGCACAGCAAAGCTAGTAGCAGCCCTCCTCTATCCATCACCACCTCTCTCCCTAACCATCACCTTCCTCTTCATAAACACCTCTCTGCTGCTGCTTCTGCTTCTACTTCTGCTTCTCTCCCACTCCTGCTCTTCGGCATGAATGAGAATGAGGCCCAGGGGCTTAGTGTGTTTGTGTGTTTGTTGGTATGCAAATGAATTAGCATTGCGCCAAATGCAAAAGGAGATGGAAGAACCATGACAAAGCGAGAGGGGGGAGTAGGGGAGTATAGAGTTGGAGCAGGAATAGGAGTTGTAGTTGTAGTATACATAATGGCGTGTGGGTGGGTTGGTGTGGGAGACAGAGAAATGAGAGAACATAACTTAACAGCTAGAATACAAAACAAGTTTCTCTGCTGCTCCTCCTCTGCTGCTGGTGAATGCATCAACGGAGATAAGAGAGTCTACCATAGAGGCGCCGCAGCCACACACATACAGCTGCAACGGGAACTGGAGCTGGAGAACTGAAGCCTGGCCTGGCCTGGCCTGGTCTGGCTCTGGCCTGGCTCTGGAGTCTGCGGTGTGCGGTTGGGAGTGGGGGGTTGAGGGTCAGTTTCATAAATTGAGTCCAGCACAAAAGCAAACTAATAAAGGTACAAGAACAATACAAAAGACTAACGATGATGATGATGATGTTGCTGATGGTGATGGCATCGCCCACGCCATGGCGACTTTTCAAGTCTGCCGTGGCTGTGCTTTTCATACCCTCACAGAGGGTATGATAAATGTGACAATATGTTGGAAACGCCCAGAAGGGAATCATTTTCTACCCAATCAAACTTAACACACTGCAGTTTCGAACTTAGTCTAAGCCGTTTAATTATTCAGTACAGGGTATCAAAAGCTTGGCTATTCCATGTCGAGGGTTGTTGTTGTTGGTATTAATGTGATTGCAGAGGCCTACATTTAGAGCCCCCCACTCGGTGTGGCACCAGCAGCCGCTGTCCATCTCTCTCGCTTCCCCTGGCAATTAATTACGACTCTTCCCCTCCCCACAAGCTCCACTCAGAGGTTGCCCTGTTCAATTAGCCTTGGTTAACACACACACACACACATGCACATGCACATGCGAGATGTCTTCTTCTTCGTCTTCGTTTACGTGACACAAAAGATGTTGATTCTGCAGCCAGTGGAAGCGGACGCGGCCGCGGCACTTTCTTACAAAGAAATTCTTTCATCAAGCTGCAGAGCAGAGCAGAGCAGAATGCAGCGACCGCATAAACGAATTTATATTCATTTTCATTGCACACACGTATACGGAGTAAACCCTCCGTTTCTGCCTCTCTGCGGAGATCTTTAATGTATTTATTTTGGTGACCCAAACAAATTACTCTTTTTGGCACTGAAGAATGGCTTTTACCCAGCTTCTATTTGGGCATGCTGACTTTTACAGTCGGCTTGGTAGGGGAAGTTCTGTGTGCTAAGTGATAAGCCAACAACTTCCGGAAATGGAAAATGTAGCTTTGATTATAGAAAAACAAGAAACCCCTCATAAATAATCTCTCGAAGCAGTTTGTTTTTAAACATATTTTCCATAGTGAGAGAATTCTGTATTCGATGTTCTTTAAATTTTTTTATTTTCTGTGGAGCATCTTTTCACGTTTTAATTCGGTTTTCTTCGAAAACAATAAACAGCAATTGTATCGTTCTTGTTCATCTTTCCAGCTTTTCCTTGCTTTCTTTCTCTCATAATTCTTCTTCTCGCCCCATCCCAATGAAACCCACAGGGATCCCCGCGCGCTGGCGGAGCTTTAATTAATTTGATTCGCCGCACTGGGCGCAACAACTCCAGCGATGACGATGACGACGACGACTTCAAATGGCCAGCATTGTGGGGCTAATGGATTGTTTTCGGCTTGTATTTTGTTTACGATGCTGCCTGATTGAAAAATTGTTATACATACATATATTGCACACACACATCTGTGTGCATGTGTACATATATGTACATATGTGTACATATATATGTATGTATTTGATAGTTTGACCCACAATCTTGTCGTTGGAAATAGTCTTATTGAAAATATGTTTTGTGGCACGCATCGCCAATGGACTGGAACCGACGCAATGGCCACTCGCACTGGATTTTCAATCGTCGATTCGGCGGGGGAAACACACACACCACACACACATACACAAAACAAAAACTCTATGGTTTGGGTACAGAGTGGAAAGCAGGCCATGCAATTACCAAAAATAGCCCAAAGTCTCTCCTCTCTCGGTTCTGTTCTCCTCAATCATCGCCACGCATCAACTCTGAGGCAGGGCTGGGCATGGGAGATGGGGCTGGAATGGTATAATATGGCATATGGGAATGAGATGGGTTGGTCACGAAAGGCGTGCCGCATTTTGGTTTTTAAAAAAGCCAAAACCAAAAAAAAAACTACAATTTTAATGGCTGCAAAAGCACAAAAAATTATTGAAAAGCAGGAAATGTTTTTATTGAATTGCACTTTTCTAGTTTATTACGAAATTCCAGCACCTTTTGAGGTAGATCAAGTATTTTCTAAATTTTTCACCATATACAATACGTATCTATATTGAGCCCCCTATTTAAAATGTTTCTTTTTATATCATTTTGGATCTTCCCTTGAGCAACAGCAGTGGAGTTCAAACACATGGGGCGAGCATTAAAATGGCTTTCACAGATAATACTGCTCTACAAAACTAAACAGCGACAGCCCAGCCATGGGCCAACGCCGAGACCAAACAAAAGATATGATAACAGTTGGTGGTGGGTCTTACAGTTAGTCAAATGATATGCATATCTGATAAGTGTGCTGCCGCATGGGCCAGAAAAGAAGAAAATTATTAAGGTAGCTGAGGTGTAACCCAATTTCCGGCCCATTGCTCAATGATCCATGGAAAGCGGCCCAAAAAAGGTGTTAAGCTTGGGAAAAATCCCCGGCCAGTACGTGAGTGCAGGCATAAATGCAGCATAAAGCACAGCACGGACACGCATGTCTCCAACTGGCATTGTCGGTGCCGCCCCAAGAACCAGCAGACCGACAGCTGGCGGCACAGATCTACCCATATCAGTAATTCCATTGAGTAATTGACTATAATTAGGGTATGACGATGATGGAGACCAATTTGGTGATATGCATAATTGAAGTGGGGCTGAAGTTGTATGAGAGCAGAGCAGAGCAAGGAAAAGACAACTGATTGAGTGATTGCAATCCGATTTCCAATTAAGACAAACACAGGCCATGACAAACCCATTTTGGTTAAATTGTAACTTTAATGTGAACACAATCTAACCAATTGACTCGTGAGCATCTGGCTCGTCTGCAGTAATTTGATTAGAAATCACGTGGCATTTGAAACGAAAGAAGAGGCCACTCTACGCCACAAAATACAGCTGAACAGCCGATTTTCCGCAACCTGCCATACCCGCTACTCGGGTTTATATGGCTGAGTGGAAACTGATCCCATTGGAATTTCACATAATTCACATCGAAAGGAGACTCTGAAAACGAAAAGCAATGTACATATGATTGCTGAGTAATACAATACATCCTTTATATTTGAATTTGTCGATCCGACAGCGTACTTTTGGCAGAGGAATGTATACATTCTCGATTTGGTTTCTCTAGACTTTAGTTGGACATTGCCCATGATGATCCTGAGAGTGACATCTACACCCAATGCACCCCTGTTGGCTCTGCCGGTACCTGGCATAAAGAGAGTGGATAAGAGAGCGAGAAGCAAAACGCTGCCAAAGGCAATGTTGTTGCCACTGCGGGGGCATTGATCCAATACACAGCACTACGCTACACACGAAGCGATTGAGTTTGCAGAGTCACAAGAAAAATATTTTTTGCGTGGGGCCAACGTCTGGGACAGAGAACGGGAAGGGGCAGGAGTAGGAGTAGGACAGGGCAGGGCAGAACAGCCGCCATATTGGCCAAATGGCGGCGGCGTTGGAGTTGCAGTTGGAGCGGCAGACGCAGACGCAGGCCATGTGCAGAGTTGGCGATCAAATGCGTTCCGAGATCTCTTTCTTGCATGCATAATGATTGCCGTCTGTTCCTGCATTTGTCGGTTGATATTTCGTAAAAAGTTTTACGAGTGTGTGTGTGTCTGCTGCACCAGCAACAACAGTAAAGCAAATGCTAAAAACAAACACACAACGCAATGCCAGCAACACACATACGCACAGAGGCACAGGGGCAGAGAGGCAGAGGCGTTGATGAAGACGACAGCTATCCACCAAGAGCAAGCGAAACAACAGCACCAACACACAGCAGAAGAACAGTTGTTGCCTTTGCCGGCCCAGTACGTTCCAGTGCCGCTGAGTTGGACAGCTGCCGCCATGATAGATATTCCCCCGTTTGCCCCATGTATTTCTGTACTTTACGGGCCATCAAGAAGCAGACCAAAAAGAGCAACAAACAAGTGCAAGAGAAATGTAATCCGCAACGAACTTTTTTACACACTGCCAATATGATATTCAAGGCAAAATCAACAGATATCCAAGATAAAACCCTATCGATATCGGTGGAAAGAGTCATCAAACTCTTGCGCTGCGGCAGAGCAAGAAGTTCAACACCATGAATCAACAGAATAAACTGCCCGAGCGGTTGAGATAGAGATAGAGAGAGAGTGCTGGTTGAGCGAATTGGAATGTGGAAAGACCCACAAACTTCCAGATAACGAAAGACAAATGCGAAACAGACATTTCTTAAAATTGGAAACGCAGCTGGTCTGGTCTGCACTTGACACGCAACGCGACCGACCGACCAACCGCCCCTCATCGTTAGCCCAGCCCAACAAATTGACGCAATCTGATTAAAAACGCATCAAAATAAAACTAAATATGAGAGAGGAGTCGAAGGGAGAAGAATAAACCTATGCTAAATGGTCGTAAAAGTAATTTTCTTGCCGCACAGCACACACACACATACACACACCAACGAACCCAACCCAAAGCAGACGAAAAGGGAGAATTTAAGGGTGCCCAGCGGAAGCAAATAAGGAAAAGGTCCCAGTTCCAGGCGGCACTCATAGAAGCGTCCCCCTTTTTGCGTACGCAGCATCCGCAAAAGAGTGCCAAAAACTGGAATGGTAATGGTCGGGATTTGGTACAGTGGCCACTCGCTAGATTAAATCAAACAAAGTTGTTAATTGAATTAACTGCTGATACAGTGGGGCATACTCCAGAAATACTAAAGGATTCGTATACTATACTGTCCACCAACTGTTGGTCAGTGTCTGCGAGGACTCACTGTAGTTGGTGGTGTTGGTACGTACGGGCAAAATCAGTGCGGGCGGAAACTGAGTGCCGTCATCAAAACACACAACACACACACACACACACTCGTAAACAGGAAAAGAGAGAAAGGAAGGGAGAGAGGCTGAAAAGGCAGACACATGAAAGTCAGCAGAGAGGGGAGAAGGGTGGGTAAGTGAAGTGACAGCTGCCCCAGCCGCACCGCATCCGCATGACCGGGGAAACACTCTCCATTTTCAGGGGGCCGCCGCTAAAATCATTTGTTAAGCCTCGTAGCCATGACAACTGGACTCTGGCTGACCGTGTCCTGGTCAGATTTTTCGAGTTTTTCTCGCCCTCTCTCACGCATCCATAAACGAGAACACAGAACACACACCATCGTCATCATCCTCATCATCAACACAACCAGCAAATGGGAGAAAAAGAACAACAATGCTGGGTGCTGTGGTGCAGCCTCCATCCATCTCGCTTCCGTGTTTCGAAATTCAATTTATGTATACTTTATGATGCGCCGCATCGTCGTCGCCGCCGACGTCGACGTCAGCGTCAACTTCGACGTTGCCGGCTCCCCAAGCGCCAAGCGCCAGAGCTGCGCTGCTCCTCTCCTCTCCATGGAGCCCAGTGAGGCGTAGAAAATTCGTAAGTTAAGGAAAATCGATTTTCCTGTTGTATTTTTTTCCTGTTTCGGCTCGACTCCCCTCTGGCTACGAATGCTGCCTGTCGCTGATATAGCTAATTACAATGCACATTATGGAATTCTGGCTAATGGATATAAATAAATGCAGGCCAGGCTGCAATATCTCCCCACTCACACTAACACAACACTCACGCACTCGAACATGGATGTGCACTCACCTCTCTTGTGCTATTTTGAATGCTCCGTTTTTCGGGGAAGTCGAGTCTGCGAGTCGCCAAGTGCACTCTACCATTCACTCGGGGCCCAGATTCCCTTGCCTCCACTGTCCTGTCCTGCTACCAAAATTGCGTCCAAAGAGCGACACACATACATCGGCCTGAATGTGCGGCAGTGTCTTGTCAGCGTGTGTGTGTGTGTGTTTGCTTCTTTTTGTTGGAATTTTCACTTGCAACTCTTTTTTTTCACATTCACTGCAGAGCTCCACTCTACGCGCTTTTTGCAGACTCTATTTACGTTAACGGGGCACAGACTATTTATTAAGCACTCTGGGTCTCACATGCTGCATGTTTTTCTTTGCTTTTCACTTTTTTTCTGGTATAATAAAACAGAAAACATGGGAGCCGAACCGAACGCAGCACAGAGAATTTACAGTTTGCTGGCCAATCGGCTGAAACTGTCAGCTGTTTGCCAGCGTAATCAGTGCTGCCACGCAGATCTAGCTTTTTTTCGAAGTCAGAGGTTTTTCTTTTTGACGAGTTTTTTCTTCTTCTTCTTCCTTTTTGACGAGTTATTTTCTTCTTCTTCTTCTTCCTTTTTGACGAGTTTTTTTCTTCTTCTTCATTTTTGACGAGTTTTTTCGCGAAATTCGAAAAAGGCGTTTCGAGCTCCAGTAATCATGCACCCTCTCTAGGTTTCACACCTTGGAACTTTCTTCGTCATTTCGGTTTGTTTTTCGATATTTTTGCAGCATTATTTTATGAATGCATTAATTAATGTTTTGAATCATTTGGTGTTAATTTGAGGTTTAAATTGTTTTCCGCAGCTAAACTCAAGTCTTTTAAAGTAATGTTTATTTTTTCCACAGTATATTTTCGGTATATTTTTTAAATGAGAAGGTATATTTCGGTATATTTCTGGTATATTTATTACTTAACATAAAACTTTTTAAAAACATGCTGCAAGGATTGATTCAGAGGTAAATTCAACTAAAATTAGCTGTTTTGTGTGAAACATTGATTGCCTATTGTTGATTTAGAACCTGCCTGGTGGCGTTCAACACGGCACAAACTATCCTGGTGCGACAGAAGCATGCCTTTGACCGGGCCGTGCTCAAGCCGAAGGTTCGCTGCCACTTCCCCAAGCCGCGCGAGGTGAAGCGCATCAACGTCCACGGCTGGGACACTCGCATGTCCACCCCGGAGGGACGTCGTGTGCTGATGCGCAGGATACTCAAGGGAAGACACAACCTCTCGCACTAGCCTCTACATATATCAATAAAGCTTTATTTGGAGTTTTACTTTTCATAAAAGTACAGGTAGCTGGAGTAGTCTTAATCTTTTCTCACGGAAGAAGTTCGCGTGTAAAACTGATTGATGCTCTTTGTGAGCCAGCCGGCGTCGTCCTGCTGAAAGACAAACGGCATGGTGCTGCCAGCCTCCGGCCAAGGCTCCGTGAAAAATTTTTGCGGCAAAGTGATGTCTCCGCAAGATATGAGGCAATTCACTTGGGCCATTCGCTCCAGAGGAATGGCTGGCACGAGATAAAGCCTCTCGTTCTCAAAGTCAATGGCACGGACGACGCCTGTCGGGGAATACGATCAGTTAGAGAAGGAATTTCAATGGTTTAATTTGTGCTTACCTATGCCCAGGCACACGGGCAGACCCTGAGCTTCCAGATGGGCCAAGTAAACCACATTGGCTTCCATTCCAGCGATAATGATACTCCTATCAACGCCTTTCTCAGTGGAATGGAGGAAATGCATGCTCCCAAAAGATGCGCTGAGGGGCTCGCAGGCAGTCAGGTGCTTGGCATTGCCCCTCAGGCAGAAGCTGAGGTGGACCAACAGATTGGTGAATTGCATATCCCTGGGACTCATTCGCCAGACTCCCTGCTGTCTTGGTGGGACTGCACTGGGCAGCTCGTGGAGCGTGTACTTATGGTTTTTGGACTCCACCCTGAACTCTGCATCTTTGTAGACATAGGGACCTTTCACCTGCGAAAGGGTCGACCAGTCGAGTGGCGAGCTAAAGTTGTTCATGGGTAGTGTACTCGAGATCTGCACCACATCCGTTGGCTCGATGCAGTCCACCAGCAGAGCCATCAGCTCGAGGCCAAATCCCCTGTTGTAGCCCATCGTGTTGATCAGAAATGGCATTTTGGCATACTCGGGATTCTGTTGGATGTGGCTCATCAGCTGTACCACCGCCTCGGCATACTGCATGTGGCACATGACGATGTTTGTGTCTCCCACGACGTGAGCACGATCCGGCTGCTTGTTTAGTAGGAATCCAGGCCCCAGAAGCGGCTCGTCAATGACAGTGCAAGAGACCGTTTGCTGCACAAAGATCTCCGGCTGGCCAATGTCCAGATCGATGAACAGCACGCGTGGAAAAAGGTTCAAATGCCGATTGAGCAGATAACGCAGCAGGGTGGACTTGCCGACACCCTTCCCACCGGTTACCATGAGGCGGCTCGTCTTTTGCATCTTCAGCTTGGTCCACTCATGAGGTACTTGAAGGGTGCGTCTTCTGTCCGAGCTCTGGATGTAACAGTTGAGCTTTATTTCGCTGTTTGAATGCGCCACATTCGCACTATTCACTTGGGGAAACAAAATCTGGCTCATGTACTGCTTCAAAGTGTTGAGCATGTTCTGGGCCTTGGTGTTCCTCTGCATGAGGACAAGGGCATCCTCCTGACTATTGAAGCATCCCCGCAGGTTCTCCAATTGTGCGCGTGTAAACTTCTCAGACAATTTGTCCCATTCAATTTTTTCTGTGGTTGGTTTGACACGTTTTTTTGGACAAATGCTCACCCAATTGATGCCCTTGGGCGAGTAGATGGTCAGGCTTTGACGTTTCTTGGCAATGAAGCCGTTCACTGTGATCTGACCACCCAACAGGGTCACCACGACAGTGCCATAGAGCTCAATGTCCTCTTTGATCACAGCCAGCACATCGTTGCACGTCGGGCTATTCTCAAAGACACTCAACGCTGGGGGGCAGTAAGGTGTATCTTCATTGAAAACCTGGCACGGCTCCATTGGTTGGGGAACCTCCTCTATCTCCATGGCGATTTGAGCTTCTTCAGCATCTGCTGCTTCGGTTTCTGCTGAGGCATATGGTTCGGTTTCAGTTGGCGATCGATCTTCTTCAACTTCTTCAATGGGGATTAGAGACTCTGAATTTGAGTCCGGTTGTGCTTCCAATATCTCTTTTATGTCTTCAATCAATTCATCCACCAGGGCACAAACATCGAGATCCAAGCTGATTGGCTTCGGTTCGGCTACCAATGGAGATAGTGCTCCGAGTGTCTCCGCATCTTGTCGAACTTCAAGTGGAGCTTCTTCAGTAGTGATTCGAGAGAACGCATTAGAGGCCTCTTTATCCTCAATCGTTGGTGTTCCTCCTACAAACGTTTCTTTTGCTAAATTACATATGTTGTCTGTATCCAGCTGAGCTTCATTATCGTTGATGGTTTGGACAGCCGATTGCTGAGCTGTATTCCCACAGATATCTTCTTGGTAGAGCTCTTCTATGGTTGGCGATATCCCATCATTAGAGAATATTACTATCTTTTCAATGGATCCCGTCACAAATAATACATGGCATTTCGTTTGAGCGTTTGCATTTTTAGGAAAATAAACAACTTTGTTGTCAGGTCTTTCAAGTACCATTGGCACCCTCCAGGCAGTCTTGGATTCTATAACATAGTTATGAGAAAAATCAGGTGCAAGGCAGATGCAAATTAAATGTTGGGCACTCACGTGTGTGTAGCAGAAAGTCAGTATTTTGTTCATCATCTGAATTACTCTCAAGAGATTCAGAGGACGTATCATTAGATGTCTCCTGGCCCAGCTCGGATTCACTGAACTCCTCTATCTCAATGGTTCCTGTTGTTAAATAGTTGGGATTCATTTTGACTGTCATTAAAAGTACATTTCTCTACATACCATCCTCCAAGTAACGCAATTTGGACCACATATCATTTGCGACTGGTATTTCGGGAGCCCCGTTATTGTTTAAAATTTGTACAGCTTCTGGTGCATCAGATTTCTTTGATTTCTTCGGACAACTCGCACTGGTTTGGGATGTGTTTGGCAGCTCGCTTCTTAGACTCAAGAATAACTGAAGTGTTTGCGGTGTGCTTAGCCTTAGCTCCATTGGTGTCACACATATTGTACTGCTTCATTGCGGATTCATTAATTGATTCTTTATACATCTGACGCGTATCTCGTTTTACTGACTTTTTATTTATCATTTTTTTTTTGCTTTTTTATTTAAAAACAAAAAACCCGGCCCATGCGAGAAATAAAAAAGAAGAAGAGATTAATTGTGTGACAGCTGTAATTTTTCTACATGACAACTACACAACTACACTACACAGGGATGAAATTGTCAGGGAGCCACTGACAAATATCAGCTTATACGATACATATCTAAACCGTTGCGTTGATATTCCTCGATTTTAATATTCGGTTTATGGGATTGTTTACATAATAAGGTTCAAACAAAAAGGCCAAAGCCCTGTGTTTCCATTTCATTTTGGTTATGTTGCTCTTGCGACATCGATCAATTTACCAACACCTGAGTTGGAGGAGCTACACATCTCGAGATTAAATATACTGAAATTATCACGAAAAGTATATAATACGGTCACCCCGACTAGCATTCGATTGCAACACAACTATCGCCTAAATGCGACTCTGTGGTTGAAGGCGTTGGTTGGTCATCGGGGTTCATCGCGCTACCAAGAAACGAAACGAATGAACTTGTTCATCGTCATTTTGCATGAAAAAAATCGTCGAGTTCAATTCGAATTTTTATAATTGTATTACCTTTAATACGAAAAAATAAAGGCTAGACGCATAGGAATCAACAAGTTTGTGCCATTTTTAAACAAATTAAGTGTCGAATTCGTACTGAGTGTTGTAAAAATCACCATAAATTGTAAGTGAGAAAAGTTGAAAGAGCAGTGAAAAAATTCCACAGAGGCACACACACACACACAGGCACGCACAAACACAAGCAGCTAGCGCAAAGGCAGAGACACACACAGACAACAGCAATGCGAGTGGATGATGAGATGTTTTTGGAATAAAAGCAAGAAGCACGGGACGAGGAGTTTCTTTCATTGGATTGGAGAAGGGAGCAGGGCGGACGGGCGGACCAAGCCCTATGACGCGAGCGCTTTGGCCAAAACGAGAGAGTAATGTGCAGCAGGAGTATGGAATTCAATTAAAGCAAAACAATTATGAGCTGAAACAACATTTTCAACGCGGACATTGGTCAAAAAGAAAAGAACCCCCACTTTTGACTATTAGATCGCCGTCGTTCAGTCAAGAGTATGACTAAGTGTGTGTGTGAGAGAGACGGGGCGAAAGAGAGCAAGCGAGCGTGTGTGTTGCTGTTGGTGTGAGTGCCGCCTGTGTGCCAGTGTGTGTCTTTTTCATTTTGATAATTTTGAACAGCTCGCGCAGTTTTCGCGAATAAATCAAACAGAACTCGGAATTCGACGAACAGAAGAACGTGTTGCCTAGTATTGCATCCACAATCTCTTCCTTTTGCCATTGCAGAACTTCCAATGACGACGATTCGCAAGAAATTGGTAATTGTCGGCGACGGTGCTTGCGGTAAGACTTGCCTTCTTATTGTCTTTAGCAAAGATCAATTCCCCGAGGTCTATGTACCCACTGTGTTTGAGAACTATGTGGCCGATATCGAGGTTGATGGTAAACAGGTAAGTTGTCTACAAGCCATACTATGCATACCACACCCTGTCTCCCCCTCCCTCCCCTTCAGCCACTGCCAGTGCTAATCATCTGATCTCGTTTTATGTGTTATTTGTGCAAAGTAATTCAGTAATTTCAAGTGCGCGTATCCTCCTTATTCTCCATTGAACTTACACATCTACAGTGTGTGTGTGCGTGTGCATTGTGTATTTTCTTTATTATTCGTATTTCTTCGCCACCCACAACTCCCGCCCCACTTCCCCACTACGTTTCCTTTTGCGGGTCTTGTAAAAAAAACAGTCGTGAGTCAATACCGAGCGGGCACACAGACACTCATGTACACTGGTATACTCACGAGTATTGGGGGAATACTTCTATTTTGGCGATCAGAGAGACCGAAAATGTGCAATTTCCAATTTTGTACGTTTCTTCCGGTTTTGCTGATAACTGAAAAATATCTTTACGTTTGTACGTTCGATGACTGCTTAAAACTGTGAAATATTCTTAGATGGTTACTAGGATGCAGAAATACTTTTGACAGTCAAATCATACTCTGCTATATTTCCCCCCACTAAGCCAATCATTCAACACATAGCCAGACCGAGAGAGAAACACTCGCACAAACAAAGAGCAGTTGGCAGCACCAACACACACAATGAAAGTAGCTCCCTTCCTTCCGTTTCTTGTTGCTCGTTTTCTTTATTTTGTATTGGTCTTATACAAGTCCGTTTGCGCACAATATTGTATGTGCGTTGCGCCGACCCGACAGCCCCTTCCTCTGATGGCCCCCAGCCTACCATACCTTACCATGCCCCTACCCTCTCTTTATCTCACTCTCTTGCTGAGCACATTCTCCCTACCTGTGTGTTATGGAGCCAGCGCTCCCGCTCTCTCCATCTCTCTCGCCCGCTCGCTCGCCAGCATTTGTAATGAATATTTTGCGATTTTTTCAGGGGAGCCATTAAGTCATGATTCTGAGTTTCAGCTAAATTCCATTTCTAATATTTTCATTCGTATTTTGGAATAAACGCAGAAAGTGTTTGTGCTGCGCAATATATGTACATATGTATGGCTGGTTTCGGGGGTGTCGGAAGCAGGGAAGACCTGTGTTTGGATAACGTTTACATACCCATTCGCACACACATTCGCACATGGAACATACATACATACATATGCTGACGCTCGCGTCATTCTACTTTGATGTGATTAATACGTTCGGTATTTCCGCCGCCAAGTTCCTTAGCCCTGCTCTCCCTCGCTCACTCGCTATCTCCAACTTGAAGTTGTCTCCTCTGCTCTTCCATATTCTCCCCACTCGTATCTCAAACACTGCCTGATGAGCACCCATCTACACCTACATATGTATCTATTTATCTGCGATCGTCCTCTGTATCACCTTTTAATGACACCATTGCCATTTTCAGGTGGAGCTGGCCTTGTGGGATACGGCCGGGCAGGAGGACTACGACAGACTACGACCGCTGAGCTATCCCGACACAGATGTTATACTGATGTGTTTCTCAGTGGATTCCCCCGATTCACTAGAAAATATTCCTGAAAAGTGGACCCCAGAGGTAAGTGATTGGCGTAGCCAAAATTGTTTAACTTTGACCAACAACTAATCTCTGAAATGGCATTCTCTTAGGTCAAACACTTTTGTCCAAATGTTCCAATCATTTTGGTAGGAAATAAGAAAGATTTGCGAAATGATCCCAACACAATTCGGGTAAGTCTCTCACCTGGAGAGTCACTCCTTTAGAGAGAGAGAGATATGTGGATCTAATTAAATTTATTTACCTCCCTGAAGGATCTCGCAAAAATGAAGCAGGAGCCTGTTAAGCCGCAGGAGGGACGCGCCATGGCCGAGAAGATAAATGCCTTTGCCTATTTGGAATGCTCGGCCAAGTCCAAGGAGGGTGTCCGGGAGGTGTTTGAGACGGCAACCAGGGCTGCGTTGCAAGTTAAAAAGAGGAAGAAGACCAGATGCCTTTTGCTCTAAAAGAGCAACTAACAAATGAAAATCTTTAACCATAAACAACAACAACAGCAACAACAACAACACACACATATACACACCACACTCTCACACACGGCATGCACACACACGTTTTACAACAAGAAAAAGAACGACAGCAACAAACAACAACAAAAACAACATCGGCTGGAGGATGGATCATTAGAAGTACGCCAGCAACTAACACAGCAAATCGTAGTGAACCGGGGGCAGAATGTCTCCCATGCGGATTTGATTTTATATACAGTCTAGTGTAGTTATAAACCGAAGTAAAACCACAGTAATAACGATGGCATTATTATTTGTATAACCCTAGGGCAGCAGACCGACAAATCCAGTCGAGCAGCTGCAATCCAGAAATATATATCGATATATGTATACATATTCAAGTTGCATCCGTTTCTGTTCACCCCTACCCTGACCTGTTCTTTGATGCTTTTTGTGACCTTGTTGCCTTGAGTGCAGACCCTGCAGTGCCTGCCTGTGCGAGGGTGTGGCAAGTTGAATCAGTTGGACATGTCCAGTCAGACGCGATGAAATGATCTATTATGTTCCCTTTTCACAAGTACTACTTTATCAAGAGACACAGATACCGCCAATAAACGATGAAAGCGAAACTACACTACAAGCAAACACACACAGCAAACATACAACTTTCAACACAAACGATTAATGTTTATTATTTGATTAAAACGTAAGCCACAAATGAGATGCATTCAGTTTTCGGGAGCGGGATTCATCCCAGGAATATGGAATCAGAGCGAAAAGTTTTTAATATTTGTATTTTGCATTAAAAAACAAATGGAAAAATAATATAAAAAAAAAAACGATGCAACAAGCTACCAAACTAAATGTATGAGGTGGATTTTATAATTTTATAAAATGCCAGTACCACATATATATATATATAAATACATCTAAATAAACAGTGCATATATGTGTGTATGTCTCTTTTTGTATTTTGTACCGTCAATCGTGTAATTTCTCACACAGAAAATGTTTAAACAAAATAACACTCAAGGGTTTTCTACAGCAACAACAGCAAAAAGCAACCGCAGAGGAAAAAATCAGAATATTTTCTATATAAGTGTAACTACGCTACTATTTTCTACAGTTACTATTACACAATTTACTAAATTTATAAATAAAGAAAAAAAAAAAAATACAAAGAAACAAAAAAAAAACTAAGATCGAAACAAGAGTCGAAAGTAATTTGTAATTTTGTGCATTCAAAGTTTTGCTTCCTATACAATAAAAAAAAATACACATTTACCAGATTACCAAAATTAGATTTATATAAATTCCATATATGAACATTTAAAACGAAAAACTAAAACCAAACCAGCATATTATATATAATTTTTTTCAAATTGACCAGAAATTACGAAACCCGAATCCGAAGTTTGGTGTCTTTTGTTGTTAATTTAAAGAGCATAAAAAAAAGATGTAAAACGTGTCAGAGGAAAGAGAAAATGAAGATTATTTAAATAATAAACAATTTTTCGAGAGTCTATTGTGCATTTTGCATAATATTCTTTACAATAAACTAGAAAAATAATGAAAATCAACAAAAAAAAAACTGAAAACAAAATGGAAATGAATAATTAAAGGTAAAAATATTTTACTAATATACATACATATATTACATATATAAAAAAATAAATAAAAAAAGAAAAAACGATACAAAAATCAACATCTTTGAGTTTTATTATCTGAAGAGGAGATTTTCGAAGATCGCTCAGGGGGTACGTACCATGGGTAACATTAATGAGAATGTTCAAATTCCCCAAATCCCAATGGGTTGGGGATGTGAACTTCGTGGAATGTGTTCCAGTAAAACTCGCATTATTAACGGGGGGTTCCAAAAATCTTTATTGAGGGAATTGTTTCTGTTCATATTTTGTTTTTCCATTGTGCATTAGTATTCCATTTTTGTTTACATTTAAAATGTATATAACATTATGAATAAAAATGGGATTTTGTTTTCTCATTTGTTTGGGTATTACAATTCAATATTATTTGCACCACTTCTGGAAAATGTCTGTCGTTTTCGAAACGACCAGAATCACGACAGAACGATGGTATTAGATACATTGGTATAGTGTCTAAGATTTTTCATATAGCGTGTTATCTGAATCGCTTGAGTTTCAGTTGCGAGGGGAAAGCGTTCAAAGCCGGATTAACCCGCATTCGATTACGCGCTTATCGCTTGTGCATTTGGCTATTGGTAGTTTTGTTGTTGTTGGGGGAGTCACACAAATTAGTTATCGAACGATTACATGTGGGGGTTTGTAATAACAATTAAATATTTAGTAGTTATGGTAGGTCCAACGTTCAACTGTTTAAGTGGGGTTTCATAACAAATGTTGGAGTAATTAAAGCCGTTTAAAACTGTTGTTTGTGTCGTGTAGTGTTTTCTGTAGTAGTGATGATAGTTAATAATATTAACATTTATGAGAGGAACTCATGGTGAATGCTTAGAGAACGTGATGTGTTGCGTGGTGGAGTTGTTTGGTGTGTAAAAAGTAATTAACAAATGTGTTAAACTAATAATAAATAAACTTAGAAGTAAACACGTGTCCTTAACAATAAACATATAAACAATAAACATTTCTCAAACTTAAACAACAAATGCAATCGGCTGTCTTGGGCTTAAGTTACATACATACATTATCTCTCTGTATATTTAGGTGTATATCATATATATATATATGTATATATGTATCATTATCAATTTGGATTTGGATTTGAACAAAGATCCAGGTTAAACACACATTCTGAAATGTTCCCGCGGTTTACATACTCATATCGTGGATCAATGTGTATTTATATATATGTATATGAATTAGTATACATTAAATTCAACATTTATTCGATTAGTTAAATGTGTGCTTTTGTGTGTGTTGCGTGTCCTGCTGGGGTAATACATGCATTACATAAGTTCAAAAATCCACCATCCATACTTCCTCTCTAGTTTTCTTTCAATCCATCCATCCATCCATCCGTCCGTCTACCTCCCTGACAGTAACGCTTGGCATTCACATTCGCTCGTGTTGTGCATTGTGTGTCCTTTGCTAGGATTCAGATCTCTCAGGTGTGTCACGATTTGTTTAAAGATATAAAGATTTTGGTTTCGCGTTTCTCTGCTTCATTCCGGTCTCAGCCTCAGGATTGAAGCTATTGAAGTCAGCTTGAATTTAAATGCATGTCTACTCGTAGCTTCTGCCAATTGCCTGCCAATCTGCCGTGCCCTCTTCCTCACCTCGCCTTGTCTTAGGAATCAACGTTATTTGTATTATTTTGACTACATAAAACATATGTACGTGCATTGTTAATATGTATCATTTTGGATCGGTGCTTAAACATATTGATATACTCTATCGTCTACCTCCGCTCGCTGCGCCTATCTTTGCTTGTCTGGCCAACAACAAATACATTAAATAATTTGTAACAAATAATAAATAAACGACTGACCGACCGACCGACCCTCTCTTCCTCGGTGGCCATAACAATAATTATGTAGTTTCTCCCATCATTCGATTGGTAAATTCTTGTGGTTTTGCCTCTGCCTTTGGAAACTTCGATCAATTACAAATAATCGTAGATATATATAGGATTTGATCTGCTGTTTGGTTATGCTATATACAATCCGTGTATATAGCAAACACACAATAAAAAAAAATGGTACTCGTAATAAGCAACGCATTGGATAATATTGCACTGATTCAAAGAAATTGTTAGCGCGCGCACTCTTCTGGCTCCAGCTGCAGCTCCTATCTAGCTTTATCCCCCTGTCTAGTTCAAATTGCGTCGACGACGGAATACCAAGGCGAATATGGAGCGTATGCGCCACCAGCGGCTGCGGTGGCGCGTGTGGATCTTCTCCGAGCTGCTGTCGGTGCCCTTCTGCAGCTCCTTGCGACGGATCTCACGGACGAGTGTGTAGAACGCCTCGTCGATGTAGTGGCGCAGTGCCGCGGACGTCTCGAAGAACGGACAGCCGAACTGATTGGCCAGATTCTTGCCCTCCTCGGTGGTGACGCGACGCTGAGATTCCAGATCCACCTTGTTGGCAATCAGCACCAGCGGTATCTCCTCGGACAGACGCACCCGGGTGATTAGTTTGCGGTACTCCGACGCCTCCTGGAAGCTGTGGCGGTCGGTGACCGAGTAGCAGATGATGAAACCTTCACCACAGCGCATGTATTGGTCCCGCATGGCCGTGAACTCGACCTGGCCGGCAGTGTCGAGTATGTCGAGCAGGGCGGCCTCGTTGTCTATGACCGCCTGTTGCTGGTACGAATCCTCTGCGGCAACGAGTCGGCAAACATTTATGGATTAGTCAGACGAGTTCAAGTCCATCGCGATGCTGCAGCACACTCACCAATGGTCGGGTCGTGGTAGTCCAAGAAGCTGTGGCTCACGAACTGCAGAGTAACAGCTGATGTTCGAGTGCGCAGGGTTCAGCCGAACGCCCGAGCGAAAACGCCGAGACAGACGGATTGGTGGTGGGGCGATGGTGCGTGTGGCGTGTGGGGGTGGTGATGGGGGACGGGAAAAACAAAGCGTAAAAGAAATTGAGATAATTTATTGATTTTTCGCGACCACAATCAAAATGCGCAGTGATAACTTTCATGGTTGCCGACATGCGCGACCTTTTTTGGGATGCTTTTCCGGACCCTTGTAGCCCACTTACCCGACTTTCCGACACCGCCATCTCCAAGGATGACTATCTTGTACACCCGGAGGCCACCTCTCATGTTCTGCGGCGGTGCTGGGGCTTGTTTTACGCTGCCATTATCCATGCGATCGTTGGCAGTGTGCATCGAATCCGTGTCGCCGCCGCTGGTGCAGGACCTCAGTTTGCTGGACCTTTTCAAAGCTGCACACCCGATGGACATGTCGCCGGCCATTACTTTTACTCCCTACCCCAGGGGGCCGTTGAACTTATACTTTTTTCCACAACACGACCACCCGCCACAGCCCAGTTAGAACTGGGCAACATATGAAATTTGAAAACGAACTGCCTAATTCGATTTTTCCCAATTGCGGACAGACGGTATGGGGATTTTTCCCAATTGCAGACAAACGGTATTGGAATTATAAAAGTCCAATTGGAACCAAATTCTGTCTGTATTTATTTTCTTGTTGGGGCTCGGGTTAGTTCAGTGTGACCGCGCATTTATAGATAAGATATACCGCCGCCTGACCCTCAGAAATGTACCGAAATATACCGTCTCACTTCTGTATATACTTGTTTGATATGTTTAATTTTTGAACGCATTTGGATAAATAGTGTTATTTATGGACAATTAATGAATATTACACCTGCTTAATCAAATATAATTGATATCCATAGATATTAATTCCTTTTCCCATCCCCAGGAGGTCTGGCAACGCCGATACGCAACGGGCGCCGTTTTATAAATAATTCCAACGACGGCGAGCTGCTGCTCGCATTTCGTTACGTACAGCGATCGTGTTCGGGAACGCTTTCAGCCCGGTCTCTGTGGCCACCGACGACACATAGACACATCTGGACTGAAAAAACAACACACATTTCCCCTCCCCATCATATTGGCATACATTTAGTGTCCGGCCAGGAAAATGTCGGGCGATGTGCAGCCGCGTAAGCGCAAGGATAAGCGCAGAAAACGCGGTAAGTTCGCCATCACCCCCCTCCTCCCTTTCATCAATCTCTGATCAGCGAAGAACGGGAATGTAGTGACCGTTAGTTTGTGTAAAATTTCCTGTGGCCGCCGCTAAGAGCGTAGCAAGCAGTTCATTTCTTTTATTAGCAAAATAATATTGTCGAGTGCCTTTAAAAATAACTTTGCCCTATTATATAAAATTATACATCTCGCCTGTTTCTGTCGCTATGCGTGTGCTGATCCACTATAGAAAAATATGTATATGTATTGAAGACATGCGGGGGTCTATGTGTGATTTTTATGACTCGTAGAAAGGAAAAGGGCATTGAAGATTTCGGCTTGGTTGGCTTAGATTTTATTTTGAAATGATAATTTGGGGAAACTGCTTTTATCTTTCACTCTTGTCTGATCTATCCCGGGTCTTATCTCGCTGCTTATCTGCATACATACATACATATACATATGTAAAGACTAACAACTGAGCGAGGCTAAGAAATCATCTGGGCTATAATTCATGATTCCCCAATGCTATTAATGCGCTGCACAAAGAGACGAAACCACACTTCCCGTTTTGTCTGTGGCCATTTTAACACCCACCCACAGAAGATGCTCATTTTGGTCATGCAGTGCAACAAAAACATTGAAATTATATGTAAAACAATTTTATTTTTATTTGGCCATCTGCCCAAGAGCATGACTGGCGGGTTCTTTGTTTATTATTGCACATATTTAGGCATAAACAAATCCCTCTCTTATCGCATTGTAATACCGGTGTCACCAAAATGGGGGAAAATTCTGCGGGTATAATTAATTACTGTAATCCAAGAGGCAAGCAGTAGACTGCTTTGGCATTCATTGTAACTAACTTTTTACGTTTAGATGATCGAAAATCTGACGGCGATGTGACTGTGCTGCGTCAGTCCAGCTTTCAAGGTAGCCAACAACCCTTCCGTCCTATATCCACATCCGTCGTGCTACCCTCTCCAACCCCTTAAATGGTTTTCTAAACCAAATTAAAGTCTCTAGTAGTTACTAAATCAACCGCTTGTCTATCCCCACGCTGTCTGAAGGTGCATTTAATTAAACAATTTGTAATCACATGTGTTTATTATTCACTACCATGCAATCGCACACATATACATATGTGCATTCATAGATGACGACGAGTCTTCCCATGGCGTCCACATTACAAAGATGGGAAACGACGATTTACACTTACACGTGCATCACGATCACGGCACCGGCGGCAATTGGTGTGCCAAGATCATATTCTTCTCTCTGATGGCAGTACTCTTGGGCCTCGTGGGCCTGATCATCTTGGAGAATCGTGGCCTTGAAGATAGTAAGTCCAGAAATCACGAAATAAAAATGTGTTGGTTAAAGGATATCTATTTTAGTGGATACTCCCTTGTCCGAGTCGCGCTTTTCCAACTATTTTACTGGTTTGGTCGACGAGCATCGAGGGGAGCATGATGCCCATGATGTGCACAAACCTTCTGGAGAGGCTTTGGATGAGCATGATGACCATGATGACCATGATGACCTCGAAGAAGAAGAAGAAGGTGGGTCAACCACTATAATCTATGCTTCTCCTTTTAAAGGGGTTTTCTTCTTTTTTAGAAGAGCCTCTTTCGGAGGAATTAGATGATGAAACAGAGCAGGAAGAGGACACAGAGCAAGAAGCGGAAACAGAGCAAGAGGAATATGAAGAAGAAGAAGAAGAAGCAGCAGAGGAGGAGCAGGAAGAAGATGATGAGGAAGAGGAGGATAATAATGCTGGCGAAAACATCACCGCCGAAGATCCAGAAGAAGACGAGCCCTATGCTGAGGCCACCGCAGAAGCTACCGTAGAAGCCACCGCCGAGTACGATGTACAGGACTCCGAGGAAGAAGAGCCCGAGAACGATGTCGAAGATGACGTGGCAGAATCTCAGGAACCAGCTCCTTCAACTGCGGAATTGGATGAGGTACAGTCTAAGCTATGGGTAAATGGTATGGTAGAGCGTTTGGATAACTTTCTGCCACTCATCGTGCAGGATGACGATGATGACAACAACAACGACGAGGCTGACGAGGTGGAGATCGAAGAGTCTGTTCAATCGAAAGCCCAAAGTTCCCCTACGACACCTAAAAGTGACAAAGATGATGCAGATGATGAGGTGAGAGAAAAGCAATTGCTCTGAAGATAAGTATTAGGCATACCAGTATCCTGGTAATAAGAACACGGTTTAGAATTGTTGTGGTCTCCGTCTCTTTTGTTTGTTACTGCAATAATATGGGTTACTGTTAATGTTTACTCGATTCGCAGGAAAAATACGATGCCGATGATGACGACTTTGAGTCCCTAGATGAGGAACCCGAAGAACTGGTGCGGCAAGTGAGAAAAGCCGACGTTGCAGATAGCGAAGAGCAGGAACAGGAAGATAATAAGGAAGAGCCCACAGAAGAGGGTTCTTCCTGGTTGGCATCGCGTAAGTTGAGTCCCTGTTTGAGGCAATTGCCATTGGAACAATGAACGGATCTCCCTTTGGCCCTAGAAAACGTTAAGAACTGACAGACCATCTCTTACTTTACCTCCCTACACACACAAGCCACACGAAAAATATTGTACAAGAAAGTGCAAAACGAATCTTGTTTGTTCTCTGATACTAAAACCTGAATCATTTTACAGTTGCCGTTAAATTTGGCGTTGGCGTTGCACTTGCCTTAGTTTCACGTCTTGTATTGATCAGGAAAAGTCCGAATACAAGTGAGTCTTCAATGCTTGACCTACTCCTACTCCATTGCTCTCTGCTCTGTGAACTGTGATCTATGCCAAAGCACGCCAAATCAATGTTAATGCTGTTAATCTTTCACTATCTGACTGTACTCATGTTCGGACAGTTTGTAACCAAAGCGACGCTTTCCTTTCTAACCCACCAAGAGCCAAAAGCTAAAAGCCGACTGGCAACAACACTTTCAATGTCTTCAGATCGATATGTGACATATGTATTAACAGAACTAAAACAAAGAGCTCGGCACTCGATTTCTCTCTTTTCGGTTTTTGGCAAAAATTTCCAAATTTTCTTTTATTTGAAGGAATCGCGGTGTCTGAGCTCACTTTTTGCACTTTCTTTATTATTTATTATTTATTACTCATTGTATGATTATGATTTATTATTTTGTAATTTTTGTAATTTTATTGTAGTCACAGCTTTGTTTAACTATTTCCACCAATGTATGTATGTATGGAAAGTGCTGTATGGCTTTGTTGTTGCTCGTATAGTAATAGTTTACACCGCCTTATGTTGACCAAACATTATATCCCGTGATGAATGTGTAGCCGAAGACGAGCCGCCCCCACCGGAGGCGATCATGAGGCGCCGACTGACGATTGCCACAGAGGAAGATCAGATACCAGACGACCTGGAGGAGATTCCGCTGCTGGACGATGGTTGGACGATCATATCATATAACTTAATTCCAAACTTCGGCCTGTCGAAGTTGCTTCGAAATCATTTCTAGCCGCAGCTGGCAGTGATCTTGCAGCTTTTAGTTTTAGATTCCAGAATGTACCCATTAATATTAATTTGTATAATACCTACCATATTCCATCACAAAAACAAGAATATTCCGAGGAGGAAATTGAAATCGAGGAGGAGATTGAAGTGGAGATCAGCGACATCGAAGAAGAGAATGCTAGCGGTGATGGCGATGTGGCATTATCGGCCAGCTATCTACCCGAGACTTTTGAGCAGTTGAGCTCCATGTACAAGTCATCGCCAGTGCCTCCATCGAGTGAAACAAAGCCCCAAGAGCCAGAGAAGCCAGAGGAGACAGAGGAGCCACTGAAACCGTCGGGATTCAGTGATCTTTATGTGGAATACGAGGACGGGACCATTGAGGACTACGAACACGATGGAGAGACAGATGAGGAGGACGAGATATCAGACGAGGAGGAGGACGAGATATCCGATGTGGATGACGCTGATCTAATGAGCAGACTGGAGGCCAAATACGGCCGTCTGCCGGTCAAGGAGTACGAAAGCGATCCGGACTCTGACGATCCCACCTGGACACGTAATTACTAAATGTACAATTCACACAGTATCGCCACCGTCTCTCGATGTCCTCCACCGCATTGACTTATCCGACATACTCTCGTACTGTTTAAGACTCTAAAATAATCTCAGTCATGGCCATAAGCTACACTCTACTTTAAGACACACCATCTGATCCATAACCGATCGTAAGTGAAGAACTTCTCTCCTACTACTACTCCCACGCCCACTATCAATATAAACGCCTCACTAACCCTTCGTATTAGGTATAAGGTGGAGCTCTGTCTAGGCCCAAACCGTTCAAAGTTCCTCTCCTTTCACTACGTAAATATCTAATCGAATTAATGTTTAACCCAACTAGAAATCAAACCCAAAGATCCTAACCCAGAGGCGCCGGCTTCGGCACCAGCCGCAGAGGATTCATTTCAACGGGAGCTGCGTCAGGCCAATGCCGAAATGATCCGGGAGGTAGGTCACAGACTAGAAGTCTTTGTGCAGCAGGAATAACTCAAAGAATCTCTCGATATACCTCTAGCTCAACAATCACTAAATCACATTAAACCAAACTCATTTCATAGCTTTAGTTTCATGTTTCATGTTTGCTTTGCTAGTCACTAGATCTAGTATTAACTGTTTAGCTTTGTAAGATCCGAAACATACGATTTGGCTTGTTGGAAACCCTCCTGTCAAGGCGTTTCAGTCGGGCACAACCACCACCCAGTGGCGGCCTCCTCCAGCCAGACACACCCACTGGATGAGGTCTCCTCGATGGGGGATGGCTGGGCCGCCCTGCAATCCCCTGGCAATTGTGTTTCCCCTTCTAATGAGCTTCATTATTTTTGTACTAATTGCATGTGCCGTGAACCCCATCTAACCCTTTGTCTTTGTGTGCGTTTTGGCTGACGAACCGCGAACTAATCCCCGCCCAAAAGAACTATGCCCAAGCCCTGCGCTCGTTTAACACGCTCATCCAACACTATGCCGACGAGCCGTTGGCCCATCTGGGTCGTGCTCATCTCCTGGAGCGGCTGGCAGAGAGGGAGCGCAGCAACCAGCGACTGTGGGAGGCCATTGATTCCTACAAACGATATCTGGCCTTTGGCGAGCTGGTGGCCAGCGATAGAGAGTTTCTTTCTGCCGCAGAACGCTGCATCGAGCATTTGCGATTCATGGGTGAGTTTCGGAATGGTATGGCGCTGCTTCTTGAAAAATCTTCTAAAGATGAGATCTCTTCTCCAGGTTATCATCAACAAACGGTGGCCATTCACGAGCTGCTCATCGAGCGTTTGCCTGCTGCTCCTCGACTGCGCAATCAACTCTCCCTCACCCATCTCACGGCCAATAAGTAGGTGAGCTAAGGTTCCAGCCCCAAAATCCCATTGCGGTGCCCATCTAACACGACTGCTTGCAGCATGCGGCTGGTGAAGCTGGTGGCAGCTGAAACACTGAAGCTCTGGCCAGCCGATCCTGTGGCCCAACTCCACTACGGCCTGGCCCTCAAACAGCTCCATGGAGACTACGATCAGGCGCTGCCCTACTTGCAGAACGCCATTGAGTCCAAGGCAGAGGGCACACAGGAGGCTTACTTCTATCTCGCTCTGGGGGAAACGCTGCAACGTATGTCCAGACAGCCAGAGGCTGTGGAAGTGCACAGGCAAGCCGTGGCCATGGGACTCATTGCCAGCGTCTATCAGAGATCGTTGTACAATGAGCCCAAGCTGCGAGCCCAACCCTTTTGGCAGCCTTCGGAGACGGGATACGGCGTGCAGTTGAGGAAACTACAGAAGAATTGGATGTCCATCCGTATGGAAGCCCTGGCTCTGCTCAGCCATCGCGGTTACTTCGCAGATGAAGCGGAGAATCTGCGCCACAAGGGTATCTGGCAGCAGTTTGAGCTCTTTGCGAAGGGTCAGCTTGTTAGGAAGAACTGCCAACGGGCCCCCATCACCTGCGGTCTGATGAAGGAGTTCCCCGAATCCAGCGGCTGTCGAAGGGGACAGGTGAAGTTCAGTGTGATGCAGGCAGAGACGCATGTGTGGCCGCATTGTGGGCCCACCAATTGCCGCTTGAGAGCGCATCTCACGCTGGTGGCTCCCGAGCCAGAGCGAACCTCTCTTCGAGTGGCAGAGCAGGAAAGGTAAGTGCAAATGGAACTGGAAGGTTTTTCCCTATCGAAAGGTCATACGATTTACCATTTTAGCACCTGGCGCGAGGGCGAACTAATCATATTCGATGACAGCTTCGAGCACGAGGTCTGGCACAATGGCACGCGTCCCCGCCTGGTGCTCATCCTGGACATGTGGCATCCAGATCTAAATGCCGCACAGCGTCGCAGTCTGACGCCAATCTGAGATCGATATTGAGCGTCTTGTTCGATTTTGTAAATGGTTCCGGTTCCTAGGCCTCCCAAATAGACAATTTCCGCCCCGCTTTGTTCACTGTTAGTTGAGTCATTCACTAGTTATAGAGCCATTATACCCAGTACGTCTGTAATTGTACCTCTTAGTTGTTAAGCTCAGTTGAATGCGTGTTTAGGCCATAGTAAAATGCACTCTTGATATGTATTTAACCGACGATCTGCTTTGGTGGGCAGCTACTGTTTGCCTTTTGTACATTAACTACAGAATCAATATAAAGTTTTTTAGGATTTGAAAAAGCTGGTATTAAGTTTCGGGGAGGTTGGGCGACATGATTATACAGATTATTGCACGCTAATGTGTTTGGGTAAGCTTTTTCTCTATAAAAGGCAGACTGGCTCGGAGTGCCATAAGTGAAACCAAACATGCGCCTGCTCTGGTCTGGAGTTCTGCTGACACTCGCTGTCTGTCCGCTTGCGGCTGCCGGCGATCCTTTGGATGTGTGCCTGAAGGATCTGGGCTGCCTGAGGGGCACACATATGCCAGGATATCAGGGCGAGGAGTTTGAGGCGTTCATGGGCATACCATTTGCCCAGCCTCCTGTGGATTCCCTGCGACTCAGAGTAAGTCACGGAAATAGTCTTCATATTTTAACAGATTAATGTCTGTACGAGTATATATAATTACCGATCTAGAATCCTGTGCCTGCTGCGCCCTGGGAGGGCATTCTGGATGCAGGGACAGCCAAGGATGGTTGTCTGCAGAAGAACTACTTTAGCACCAACTGGGTAGTTTCGGGCGTGGAAGATTGCCTCTACCTGAATGTCTACAGACCAAAGGTTTCGCTTGATGGGCAACGAAAACTCAGAGAAAATCTAACACTCATTCCTTGCATAGAAACGCGATGGAAGTCCCTTGCCCGTCATGTTCTACATCCATGGGGGCGGTTACTTTAGCGGCACTGCCCATCCGGTTGCCAGTGGACCCGAGTATATGATGGACACGGAGCAGGTGATCATGGTCACCGTACCCTATCGCCTGGGGCCGTTGGGTGAGCTTGTCATAGGGGAGGAACTATGAACAGTTTATTCTTGAGATTATCTCTTGCAGGATTCCTGAGCACTGGCGATACGAATATGCCTGGCAACTTCGCTCTCAAGGATCAGCGCCTGGCCATGCAGTGGGTGCAGCAGCACATAGCAGAATTTGGAGGCGATCCCCAGTTGGTGACGATCTTCGGCCACAGTGCGGGAGGAATGTCGGCCCACTATCACATGCTCAGCCCCAGCTCAAAGGGTGAGCTTCACTGTACTCTCGTTGTACACTCTCTTGAATCTTTCCTTCCCGGTAGGACTCTTTCAACGGTCCATGTCCTTGGTTGGCACCATACTCTCGCCATTCTTGAAGATAAATAAGGAACCTCTCGCCCAGGCGAGAAAGCTGGCTGCTGTGGCTGGCATCGAGGGGGCAGAGAGCTTAGACAGCAAGGACCTGGCCCAGGCTCTGCGAGAGCTGGATCCCGTTGAGCTGCACACCACGGTAGACTCCCTAAAAGTTTGGTATAACTTTCCTTTCATCAGCAATACAGTGGTCGTCGAACCTGTTGGATGTCCGGAAGCCTTCTTCACCGAGGACCCGGTACAGTCGCACCTCGAGGGACGCATTAATCAGGTGCCCTGGTTGCTGAGCGTCACTTCCAGGGCCGGAGAAGGTGCTCTATCCATTCTGCGCGTCTTCGACGATCGAAAGCTACGGGCCGAGCTCAACTCGCAGTTCCTTGAGCATTTTTCCCACGTCTTGAACTTGCCTGATGGAACTTCGTCGGAGGTTGTCCGGGAAATCCTAGACGCCTATGGATTCGAGGGAGAGAGCATCAGCAACGATACACTTGTGCCGCTGGCCGAGATCGCGGGCGACTTTGGGTTCTTTTACCCGCTCTACGAGACCGCCTCAACCTACGCAAAATACGCCAATCTTGAGGAGAATCCGCTCTCCTTCTACTTTTTCGAGTACCGTGGCCTGCGCACCCTCTCGACCCTGTTTAGCGGCGCATCGGTGGAGTATGGGGTAGGTGCTGCCCACATGGACGACGCTCTGCACACCATACGGATTCCGGCTATTGTCGAGGACTATCCCAAGAATTCGGAGGATGCTGACGTCGTTAAACGAATGACCTCGCTGATGGTGGACTTTGCCAAAACCGGGTAAGATTTCTATGGAAGAATGTCCAAGCTATGTAGCTGATGCTCTTCTCTGTTTCAGGATCTTCCACAGTGGCACATCCTGCCAAGCTTCCGATTTCACGGATCAGCAGATGTGCAGCTATGTCCATTTTGGTGGCACCGTTGGCAACTACAAGGAGGATATCCAGAAGGACGTGGATTTGGCAGGCTATCCAATATGGAAGAGGTTATTTTTCTGAGAATCATTAGTCAACAGATTGCTTTTAATGATGTTACTTGTTTACTATTAATTCGTATCTCAGTCTCTGGAACTGGAACGAGAATTTTAGTACTTTTACATAATGTGTCTCTGTAATGTTACACGATAAATAACTAAGCTGCAACTCAATGTAAAATTGTTGCGTCATGTGCATGCAATGTATGTTGTTTTGGCATTTTCTGGGCAATCCTCTTTTGCAGCGTTTGCTTGTGTGTGTCGAGTCGCTCATATGTGCCGCGTCATGTGGAAGCAGCTGGAAAGAATGACGTATCCATTGCTGTTCTAAACGATCGTCGGTAGTGTGGGGAGCTGCGGTACAGGTCACAGAATTCTCGACTTCAAGCCCATCGCAATGTTCTGACTTTTGTGGAACTACAACAAACAGAAAAAGATTAAAAAGATTATCCCTAAAATTTAAAACTGAGAATAGTTATATAACACTACTCAACACGATTTTTCCTCAAGGAACCAAACTGAATTTTCCTGACAGATTTGGGGCTTTGAAATTGTTTGATAGGTTTTTTTTACAGCAGAACTTTGTTTTAAACTTATTTTTGAAGGTAGCGCTTATATTTTTCAACTTTGCCATTCTGAAATGCAAAAAAAATAATAGATAATAATAATAGAAGTAAAAAAAAATGCATTAAAAAATTGCGAAAAACAAAAGTTTGATTTTGTTGAGTAGTGTAATTGGTTATGGTGGTCATTCTCTATAAACAAGTAACTCCCCCTTTTTTCATTGCCAGTTACTAATATTAAGTAATTCATACTAGTTATATTTAACTAACTATTAATTGTTAATTGTGAAGCTCAGTTGAATGCGTGCGCAGGCCATAGGAAAATGCTACTGCTTGCATTTTGTACCTAATAAACAAAAACAAAAAACGTTTAATATGAATCGAAAATGATTGGAATTAACTGGGGAAGGAGGTTGGGCAAGTGCAGACTACAATTGCGGGACATGATTATACAAATTTGTGCACTCGAATCTCAATGGGAAGTCGAAGTTTTCTATAAAAGGCAGACTCGCTTGGAGTTCCATAAGTGAAACCGAAAATGCGCCTGCTCTGGTCTGGAGTTCTGCTGACTCTCGCTGTCTGTCCGCTTGCGGCTACCGGCGATCCTTTGGATGTGTGCCTGAAGGATCTGGGCTGCCTGAGGGGCACACATATGCCAGGATATCAGGGCGAGGAGTTCGAGGCGTTCATGGGCATCCCATTTGCCCAGCCTCCAGTGGATTCCCTGCGTCTCAGAGTAAGTTTCGGCCATTCGTTTTATGTTTTTGAACATAATATAAACGCCGATCTAGAATCCTGTGCCTGCTGCTGCCTGGGAGGGCATTCTGGATGCAGGGACAGCCAAGGACAGTTGCCTGCAGAGGAACTTTTTTGGCGTCAAATGGTCCGTTTCGGGCGTGGAAGATTGCCTTTATCTGAATGTCTACAGACCCAAGGTTACGCTTGATGTGCAACGAAAAGCCAGATAAAATCTAACTTTTTTTTCTTCCATAGAAACGCAATGGAAATCCCTTGCCCGTCATGTTCTACATCCATGCGGGAGGCTTTTTTAGCGGATCCGCCCATCCGGTTGCCAGTGGACCCGAGTATATGATGGACACGGAGCAGGTGATCATGGTCACCGTACCCTATCGCTTGGGGCCGTTGGGTGAGCTTGTCATAGGGGAGGAACTATGAAAAGTTTATTCTTGAGATGATCTCTTGCAGGATTCCTGAGCACTGGCGATACGAATATGCCTGGCAACTTCGCTCTCAAGGATCAGCGCCTGGCCATGCAGTGGGTGCAGCAGCACATAGCAGAATTTGGAGGCGATCCCCAGTTGGTGACGATCTTCGGCCACAGTGCGGGAGGAATGTCGGCCCACTATCACATGCTCAGCCCCAGCTCAAAGGGTGAGCTTCACTGTACTCTCGTTGGGCGCTCTCTTGAAACTTTCCCTCCCGCTAGGACTCTTTCATAGGGCCATGTCTTTGGATAGCACTTCGTTATCACCATTCCTTAAGATCAACAAGGACCCCTTGGGCCAGGCGAGAAAGCTGGCTGCTGTGGCTGGCATCGAGGAGGCAGAGAGCTTGAACAGCAAGGACCTAGCCCAAGCTCTGCGAGAGCTGGATCCCGTTGAGTTGCACACGACGGTAGACTCCCTAAAAGTTTGGGATAACTTTCCTTTCATCAGTAATCCACCGGTCGTCGAGCCTGTTGGCTGTCCAGAAGCCTTCTTCACCGAGGACCCGGTGCAGGCGCACCTCGAGGGACGCATTAATCAGGTGCCCTGGTTGCTGGGTCTCAATTCGAGGGCCGGAGAGGGTTCTATTGCGGTTCTGCATCCTTTCGACGATCGAAAGCTACGGGCCGAGCTCAACTCGCAGTTCCTTGAGCATTTTTCCTACATTTTGCATTTGCCTGAAGGAACTTCACCTGAGGTTGTTCGGGAAATCCTAGACGCCTATGGATTCGAGGGAGAGAGCATCAGCAACGATACACTTGTGCCGCTGGCCGAGATCGCGGGGGACTTTGGGTTCTACTATCCGCTCTACGAGACGGCCTCAGCCTACGCAAAATACGCCAATCTCGAGGAGAATCCGCTCTCCTTCTACTTTTTCGAGTACCGTGGCCTGCGCACCCTGTCGACCCTGTTTAGCGGCGCATCGGTGGAGTATGGGGTAGGAGCTGCCCACATGGACGATGCTCTGCACACCATACGGATTCCGGCTATTGTCGAGGACTATCCCAAGGATTCGGAGGATGCTGAGGTCGTTAAACGAATGACCTCGCTGATGGTGGACTTTGCCAAAACCGGGTAAGATTTCTATGGAAGAATGTCCAAGCTATGTAGCTAATGCTCTTCTCTGTTTCAGGATCTTCCACAGTGGCACATCCTGCCAAGCTTCCGATTTCACGGATCATCAGATGTGCAGCTATGTCCATTTTGGTGGCACTGTTGGCAGCTACAAGGAGGATATCCAGAAGGACGTGCATTTGGCAGCCTATCCCATATGGAAGAGGTTATTTTTCTGATAATCTGTTCATTTTTCAAGGTTAATTGTATATGGAGCTATAAATACGAATATCACTTAATATGTGGAACTGGAACGAGCATTGTAAGAGACGTAACTTAACTGTAACTCAATGTCAATTGTAACTGTAAATGGAGCACTGCTTGCGGCTGTTTCTCTCACTCTCGCTCTCTTTAGCGATTGCTCTGCTGCTGCTGCTGCTGCTGCGAACGTTGCTGTGATTCCGAAGGTCAGTTTGCATATTGCAGACAGTGCATGAAAAGAAACAAGATTAAGTGCGAATAAAAGATCCAATGGGACCGCTGGGAAGAGTGATGAGATAAGATAGCCGACCATCAAGGGCACATGCAATACACATTCGTACACAGGGGAAATGCAAATGGCATCAGGATAAAAGGGAAAGTGATCTGCCAAACGATCGTAGTCGAAGCGCAGCTGTTTGGCAGAACAGAGTAAGTTGTTAATTCCACTATTTACGTATATCACGTGTACATTTGTGTATTGCCTCAACGCGATTTGGATTGCGACTGGACTGCGACTACATCTGATATGCAGTTCCAGATCAATTGATATCCGCTCTGATCAAGCAAACGCCTTGTGTGAGTTTGCCCCGATTGTATGTAAGTAAGTAAGTTGCGAGTAGTTACGAACTGTTGTGTGTTGAATAAAATTTCCATTTCGAGTTCAGTCACTCAGCTGAGATAGTAGACAACGGCACCGGAACAGCAGTAGCAGTAGCAACAAACATACAACGCCATGGCGGCTGGCGCAGAGTAGAGTTTTCTTGGATGCTACGACTACAAACCGAAAGCACCACCAACGAAACCCCTCAGATCGATTTGGGACGCCGTCGTGTAACGTTCTCCAGTTTTTCCATATTCCGAGTGAGTTTTCCCTCCCTCTCCCCCTGCCTTTCCATTCATTTCCTTTCGAGCTGCAAGGAGTTTTATGCAGTTTATGCAACGGGAAGCCCTGCGAACCGTAGATAGTGTTAAATCGAACCGATTTAACGTTGACATCATCTTGACGCGGGGCAGGCAATAACAAGGTTTTGGAAGCATCAATAGACCGTTCATAAATAAATAGCCAATCACTCGATATGCATAATTAATGATCCATAAAGATGGCCATTAACTCGGTTTCGGTTTCTTTGTAGCCAGACGACAGACGAAAGACGATGATTCAGGCGAAACAGTTACGGATGATGATGCTGGTGCTGCTCGTGCTCTTGCTCGTGCTGGAGCTCTTCTCGTGCCCAACTCTGGCTCTGGACCCGCTGACCGTCTGTCCGCCGAGTGTGGGCTGTGTGAAGGGCACTCACCGCAAGGGCTATCAGTCGGAGCGGTTCGAGGCCTTCATGGGCATTCCATATGCCATGCCGCCCGTGGGAGAGCTGCGGCTAAGCGTGAGTTCTGCATGGAAAACCGAAAAAGCGAATGGAAAGTTCCATGCAATGTCTTCTCCATTTAGAATCCCAAGGTTATGCCCAAGCTGATTGGCGTCTACGATGCCACCAAGCCCAAGCCGGACTGTGTGCAGAAGAACTATCTGCTGCCTACCCCCATCGTCTTTGGCCAGGAGGATTGCCTCTATCTGAATGTCTACAGGCCACAGGTGGAGCTACACTCACTCTAGTCTTTATTTGCCTCTAGTCTTATAACTGAGTCGCTTCTGCAGCTTCCTCGCTCTAGACAGTCCCTGCTGCCTGTCATGGTCTACATCCATGGCGGTGGCTTCTTCAGTGGCTCCGCGGGACCTCAACTGACGGGACCAGAATACTTCATGGACTCGGCTGAGGTTATACTGGTAACCATGGCCTATCGTCTAGGGCCTTTCGGTAGGTACCAAATCGTGCTTAATCTTCATTCCATTTCCTATTCCCTGTCCGCTTGTTGTGGTAGGTTTCCTGTCCACCCAGGATGCAGCCATCTCCGGAAACTTTGGCCTCAAGGACCAGAATCTCGCCCTGCGCTGGGTGCAACGCAACATCGAAGCCTTCGGTGGCGATCCCAAGCGTGTGACCATCTTTGGCCAGAGTGCCGGGGGCGTGGCCACGCACCTGCACCTACTGAGTCCCAGGTCGAAAGGTCTCTTCCACGGCGTGATCAGCACCAGCGGCACAGCCAACGTGCCCTTCGCCATCACGGAGCAACCCCTGGCGCAGGCCCGTCTGGTGGCCGATCTCTGCGGAATCAAACTGGCGCAAAATCTCAGCACGGCGAAACTGGCGCGTGCGCTGCGCCATGTGGAGGCAACGAAACTGCTGGACGCCGGCGATGGCCTCAAGTTTTGGGACGTGGATCACATGACAAACTTCCGGCCCGTGGTGGAGCAGGGCGTGGGCGCCGAGGCCTTTCTCAGCGAACATCCCAGCCGGCTTGTGGCACGCGGCAGTCGCATGCCCATTCCCTGGCTGCTAGGCACTGTGCCGGACGAGGGAGCGGTCCGCGTGGTGAACATCATGGGCAATGAGACGCTGCGCCAGAGCTTCAACGATCGCTTTGACGAGCTGCTGCAGGAACTGATGGAGTTTCCGACCGGCTTCAGCGAGCAGCGGCTGGCCAGCAGCATGAAGCTCATCCTGAAGGAGTACTTCGGGGATGAGCACGAGGTGAACGAGAAGACTGTTCAGGGATTCATGGATGTAAGTGACTGATCTGAGGGATCCTTCAATCATGTGTAAAGCTCGCGATCCATTTCACAGCTCATCACTGACAGGGGATTCAAGCATCCGCTGTACAATGCCATCCGGGCAGATGTCCGCCAACGGCATCCGCATCCCCTCTATCTGTTTAGCTTCAACTACAGGGGTCCGCTGAGCTATGCCTCCGCCTACACATCGGCGAATGTCAGCGGCCGTTACGGTGTGGTCCATTGTGATGATCTGCTCTACTTGTTCCGCAGCCCCCTGCTATTTGCCGACTTTGAGCGCAACTCCACGGAGGCCAAGGTGATTCATTCGCTTGTCGATTACTTTGTGCACTTTGCCAAATTCGGGTGAGTACTGGGAACGGAGCCAAGCCAAGTTAGATATTAAGATATTAAACCGTTGCATCCGTTTCGTAGCAAACCCAGGAATATGGAGTCACTGACACCGTGTACGGAATCGCTGCTCCAGTCACGTCCAGTCAGTGGTATGTGTGATTACCAGGAATTTGCCAATACGCCGGCTCCCGCCAAGGGGTTCGAGGTGCACGTGTCCAGCCAATTCCAGGGGGCACGAGTTCAGCTTTGGTCGAGTATACTAAATGAAACCTCCTTAAATGAATGAGTCACAATACTCTCGTATCTGTACGAACAGTTCCATGCTCTCCTCAAAGATGTAGCACTTAAAACGGTGCACACACATGCATACGTAAAATCTCAAATAAAACCCTTGGATTTAATCCTTGACGTAGCAGGAATCTAAAGATTTTTGCACCTGAAATATAACTTAAGACATTTCGAGTGGAAATTGCCGCATATCCTTAATCCAACAAAGAGCCTTGCCAAACATCGGGAACTTCTTTGGTTGGCATTATATAAATCTAAAAACTGGAAATTGGATTTCATGGCCGCATTATCCATGAAGCTTCCATTTGATTATTCCAACTAGAATTACAAATACAGTCTACTCTACTCTATATGTGCATTTGTACCCCATATTCAATATTCCATTTCAAAGTGTGCCAAACATGATAAGCTACAAAATTCATTTGCACTTCTGCCATGTGGATATACTCGTAAATATATATGTATATTTAGATATACCTACAATAACCACAATATGCAATTCAACATTCTTTCATTGGTGGCAGTTGTAATCAGGTTTGGCAGGAACATGAAATTAAGTACCGCCAATGGGGGGAAATGGGAGCAATGATGTTTAGAACAATGATTGCTTTATTATTTATTAATTGAGTAACAGTGTCTCGGGCGACCTTTTCGATTTGTTGAACATTGTATAACACAAATTTACATTAACACTATTTCGTAAGAGAACAATTATAATTTATTGCCATCCATTTACAATCAGAATAGAAATAATATATTGCCATTTCTAATAATGGTTTGCACAACTTTTTAGTTACATATATATATTTAACTGCAGTGTTGTCCCCATTCGTGGGGCGGTTGAAAGCTCAATGAACTTTTGTATCTGATAGATTTCTAAGGGGGTGGAGGTACTAACTGTCATTTGGCCATCAAATTGGGTTGGCACATGCAAACCGCAGATACGGGTACGGCAGGTGTGGGGGACCGGGACTCGTGTGCCCAGATTTATGTCAATTAAAATCAATAATGCCCACGACCAAATTCACTGAAGCTTATGACAGCTCCTGCAGGACACTGCCGACTCAGACGCGTTTCAGTTGCATTTGGAAGTGCAGCGCGAGAGCTTCATACATGCAACTAGCCCGGAAGATTGTGTTTCGGATTGTGCCCCTGTTTCTGGTCGGGTGGCTTTTCACAATGGGCGAGGCCTACCTGGAGAGTGTCCGCGTGGAGGAGATACCCTTTGCCGGCGCCAAGGTCCCCGCGAGCCGTCGTTCCAGTGGCATCCACCTGATATCCAGCCTTGAGCATCAGCGCAATTTTCTGCACCTCTTCCAAGTGCCCTGTGAGTGGGGAAAGGCGAAAAATCCAGCCAGACTGCTAATATATCTGTGTGTGTATGTATAATAATTTCAGACATCATCTGTTTCTATGCCGCCAAAGGCAAGTGGCCCTATGTGCCGGGATTCATGAAGTACAAGGTGGACAATGCAGCTCGCAATCTGTTCCATAACAACGATAGTTTCATAAGACAGTTCTGCACCAAGTGGATCCAAGTCAAGGAGTGCTTTCGGCCCATTTTTGGTAAGCTCAACAAGGAATGTTATGTGCGACTCCATCTCCTCTCTTGCAGACAAGTCGAACTCAAGCATCGATGATATGGAGATTGAGACACTGAATGGCAACTACCAAGGGCAGCGATGCAACTGCAACAAGCTCCGGTCCACGGAGGCTCCGGTTGTGTACTTTGATAAGAACTACATTGGTAACGTCAGCTCGGAGACCATTTTGAACACGATTGAATTTTTGGAGGGTTTCTTACCGACGCCGACTAAAAAGCACAAGCGCAAGAATCGCGTGCGTAGTCGTTTGGATGATATGGATATTGATAACTAATCAACTTGATGGACACTTTACATTTACACCTTAAAACTAAAATTTTATAATACATTTCACTTTTAAAGCAGCAATAAAATTTGAATTCAACTCAATGTGTCATTTGCTGGTCCCACCGAAAAATATAGTCAGAAAATGATGCTGCAACCGGCCTGCAGGGGGTCACGCTACATTGTTGCTTCAGTCCAAACTTTGAGAGGATAATGACGAAATTGGCATGCGCATCCATCAATCTCTGCGATCATTTTTTGGATGCCGCAAAAATGGTGATTCGAAACACACAGTTGTAAAATAATTTCAAAATAAAGCGCCGATAAGTTCAGCTTATCGCACAAAAATATCGATCTAGTTCAGTGGAAACAAAAGAATCTGGTATATTTATCCAATCGGTATATTTCTGAGTTCGATATATTTATCGAACAATGAACCAGTTCAACGTTATGTATGTATATATATATCTATACTATCGTGATAGTATCGGGCTCAAATAATTATTAATTATAAATTATTTTTTTGTTACTGGTTACTAACCGGATTAAATAGAGCGGGGTTAAGCTATTTTTCTTTCTCGGTTTCTGAGGTTCCAGTCACACTCGACAAAACAAATCAAGTGAAATATTTATTTTTCCATTTATACTTTTGAAAATTACCGCCAAACTCATTTAGCGCACAAAAAATACTGACATTTTTCGCTCTCAATTCGTGGTGGGTCAATCTAGGATAAGATCATAAATAATGTTTCAATGGAGCTTGGAAGAAAACATTTAACATCAATTAAATAAAATATGGTATACAAAAGTCCATACGCATAGAAGAAACTTTGTTGACCAGCAACACTGACGTCACACTTAGTCAACATTTACGTTTTATGCTTTGGCCGTTTCTGTTTGAACCCTATTATCTAAGCAATCACATAAAAAAATAGGTTTGAAAACTAGCCAATCCTAAACAAAATTCATTGAGGAATTGGATAAAATTATTTTTTTAGGGCTGAGAGGGCCAACTATCTAGTAATATTAAGCTGAATATCAAAATTGACGAATTTCATATCACAAGATATCATGGTATGGCAGCCCGCAGCAACAACGAATTGCACAAGTCTGGCAGCGCCTAAGAAACGACGTCACATTCGCTTTATGTTGTCTTTGCTTGAACCTTAATATGTAAATAATCCAATAAAAAGAACTTCTGAAAACTTGCCAATCTTGTACAAAATTTATTGATAAATTGGATAAAATTATTTGTCTAGAGCTGAGAGGACCAACTAGCTAGTAATATTAAACGGAATAGAGGAATACCAACGCATCTTGTCGTATCTTTTTTAGAATACTTACGGTATATTATTTAATCAAGTTCCAATTTATTTTTTAATATATTAAGATACTTTTCAAAATGACCGCCAAACTCCATTAATCGTACAAAAATATCGATATTATTCGCTCTCAAATCGTGGTGGTTTTTCAAAATTTGCTCTCTTTTCAGAGGTGAAGAGGCCGTTTTCGTGGTGACTTTTCGTGGTGTGAGAAACATGTATCTTACGGGAACGCGTATGGAATGAAGATTCATTGTTGCGTCATTCCATACGCGTTCCCGTAAGATACATTTGATTTGTATGGGAAAAAATTCAGCAACATGTGGAAATGAATTAGCAGCATTGTTGTGCAACTTTGGCACGGAATGAGCAACAATCTGCATACCTTGGGAAAATGGATATTATGGACTTGAGATATTGTTTGAATTTTCAGGCTCCAATTAATGCAACAACTACTCAGTCTCTGTTCTAAAGATTTTAACAAATTTTTGCAGCTCACGACTACCAATAATAGGTATCAGAACCGGGATAAATGTATTTATAACACACAAACATGTGCATTAATATGTAAAAAACATGTCAATCTAGGATAAAATCATAAATAATGTTTCAATGGAGCTTGGAACAAAACATTTAACACCAATTAAAATAAATAAGGTATACAAAAGTACATACGCATAGAAGATGCTTGGTTGACCAGCATCACTGACGTCACATTTAGTCAACATTTTCGTTTTATGCTTTGGCCGTTTTTGTTTGAACCCTATTATCTAAACAATCCCATTAAAAATAGTTCTGAAAACTAGCCAATCCTAAACAAAATTCATTGAGGAGTTGGGTAAAATTATTTTTTTAGGGCTGAGAGGGCCAACTATCTAGTAATATTAAGCTGAATATCAAAATTGACGAATTTCATATTGCACAAGTCTGGCAGCGCCAAAGAAACGACGTCACATTCGCTTTATGTTGTCTTTGCTTGAACCTTAATATGTAAATAATCCAATAAAAAGAACTTCTGAAAACTTGCCAATCTTGTACAAAATTTATTGAGGAATCGGACAAAATTATTTTTCTAGCTCTGAGAGTCCCAGCCAGCTAGTAATATTAAACGGAATATCAAATTCGAGGAATATCAACGTTGAATGTCTTGAAAAAAACAATCGATACTATCGTTATAGTCGCAAAACCGTCGATAGTAGCGGATAGCAGCAAAACATCGATACCATCCTTGACACCTCTAATATATATAATATATATCTGCGCCGATTTTTTCAAAAAATCATCGAGTACGGTCGTGTCGCGGATGAAAAAAAAGTGATAAATATATAGCATAAGTGAAGCACTGCAAATGCTTTTAGCACATACTCGCCCTAGAATCCACCGACATCGACATCCATCGACAAGTTCGCAAATAAGTGGCAAGTGCTGGCCAAGCCAATTGATTAAACGCTCTAATTGAACTAAAATATAACAAGCGCGAGTGAGAGATATAGACAGCGAGACCGAGGTATTGAAACGCTGCCAAAGAAATCTTGCCACCAACACACATTTTTTTGCATTCACTCTTTGCTCTCGGCCGCTTTCATCGCGCGTTGTTTGTTCCTCTGTGTGTGTGTGTTTTTTTGCCGCGTTGCCTGGCTGACTCGTTCGTAGTCTGTGGTATTTGTTGTTGTCGTTGGGAATCGCCCTAAAGGCCCTCTTGGAATAGTGTGCAGCAAGAGGCACGTGAATGTCGCAAAAACACCAGAAGCAGTCTTACCAACCGCTCCCCACCGCCGCGGCCGCCATGGACAATCCGGCGATGAGCCAGAGCAGTAGCAGTGGCGGCAGTAATGATGATGTCGCCAACATACCTCCGACTTACTCGTCACAACAGTTGATGCCCTCGGACTCTGACAGCATGGAAGAGGAGCGTCAATTACGTCCTACTGGAGCTACCGCCAATCTCGGAACCGGCCTTGGTATACCGCCCGTGCCCACACGCCTCTCCGCGGTCGGCCGGTCACAATGGTTTACCGTTGCTGTGCTCTGCTTTGTCAATCTCATCAACTATATGGACCGCTTCACGATTGCGGGTAAGTGCTCCCGCTTTCTCTCTCTTCACTCCTTTTTCCGGAAAAAGCGTAACTCTGCATAGTAAAAAATGAAGACTCCCAATAAGCTGCCTCAGTGTGATTGTGACGTCAGTTGTTGTTATTTACTTGAAAGATAAGTGAAAAGTATTGTTGATGATAGAAAATCCGCCGTTCTACATGCGTATGTATGTGTATATACATACGTATGAATAATGATTTTCAAGTGCAGGGTCTGATGAAAAATTCCAACAGAATCGTACGAGTTGTGTATGTGATAATGGCCTTTGGGGATGACTAATCAGCGTTTACATTTTTTGAATCATCCGATTCAAAAATACGTATAATGAGTACACTCATTTGGATATATGTATATTGTTTATCGTTAGCTAATGATAAAGCAGTTTAGCTCCTCCTTTTTGGGTACATTTTCGCGGGAAATCAATCAAATTTCAATCAATCAATCAACAAAGGCTGAGCGTCAAGTGGTTCCCGCCCGCGTGACAATTGACAGCAATCGTATATTATCATCTATAGTATCATCTATAAATACGACTCTAATGGAAGTAAACTCCCCTCAAATATCCTCTAATTTCTGGGTAATCGTTTAAATTAGTGTTAATTGTTTGTTCTTCAATGCGGGCCTGTGGAATCTTGGAATGTCGGAGGGGAGGAACTTACTTTCTAACTTGATACTAAAACAATAATCTGTGGGATTGAGTGCTTGCTCCTAAATATAAGACGACAAACAATGACACCAGCTAAGTGTCAAATTTTCTAAATTCTTAGTAATTGAGGGAATTCGAATAGATTCTCTGTGTTACAATGCGGGCCTATGCACTTTTAACATAAACAATAAAAATGACTCCGTGTCGAATGGCTACAATTCTTAAGTAATCGGCTAAATTGATGCTTTGCTGTTTAATGCGGGCTGGATATCACAACGGATGTATCCCTAATTCAGCTTTTACATATGTACTTCTAATCGTGTAATGGGGGGGATTCCCCATTTAGTGTTTAGTTATCAAAAAGAAAGAGAGAAAAAGGAAATAAACACTCTGCGATTACAGCCTGAATCATATTGCGTTGCACAAAACTAAATTAAACAGAAACTTGGTTATTTACAGAGTTCTCCCGACGGCGATTGGCCGGAGCAACAGGTTACGTATGTGCCTGTCTATATGCGTTTCAAACTCTCGTACCCGCCCCCCTAGCAGGGGGACGGGTTGTTACACAAGTCGAATAGCTCTGTAACTGGTTAATATCCGTGCACAAATAGCCATAATTAACATTTAACATTAACAAGCCTGGAAAGTTCTCTGATCTGTGAACCTGAACCTTAAAGTGTTTGCCAATTGCAAAATCAGCCAGAAGGCCAGCATATAATCTCTTTTGCACACTTTGCACTTCCAGAGATATTAAATCTAAAGAAAAAGATCCTTTTATCGGTTGATTGAAAAAGAATCGATCACAAATTGATTTTACACTCATTTCCTGATATTTTAAAACCTTTGTGGTAAGCTTTTAATGGGTAATGGAAGGGGTGGCCCCTAATGAATAATATATGTATATATATGTACATATACGAAAATCGCATGACTTTTAATCAACCAAAGTCGGTGGCGGCAGACAGGAAGCGGATTTGCACTGAATTTTGTACTGAAAGGGCGATAAAATGTTCATTTAAAACTAGCATTGAGTCGTCCATCATTTACACTCACTCGCAATCATTCGTTATACCCGTTGATTCCACTCCTCCTCTTTCTGCCACACAAACGCCTACTATCTTATTTGCTTAATTCCACGCAAAATCATATTTTGCAATACCCTTAAAAATAGGGTGCTATAACTTTGACCAGGCGCTTGCAAGGCCGCTCTGAGTTCCGTCAGTCTGTTCCTGATTTCAAAGCTATCCGTCCGGACAGCTGGCACAAAAACAGAGCCTTTCCTGTTTTCCAAAGTGCAAGGGTATACAAATGTTGGCCTTTAAGGCCGTCTGCCTTCATTAATTAGGAATACTTTTGTTTATTAAGAACAAAAACTAAAATAAACATTTGTGTGCACGTCCAAGGTTATAGACATTTGGCTGCTACAACATTATTGGTTATAACATCCCCCTTCCTCCACTCTCCAACGTGTCTTATCAGTTTTAACTGTAGTAACAGAAACCGCAATATCAGTGGCCAATAAATTGCATTTTGGCGCAGCTGTTGGAGCCAACCCACCCAGCAGCCAGGGGGCACGTGTCGGGAATTTGTTTAAACAATTTCGCATTGATTAGATTGCCAGTTTTGTGTGTTATTTATTTACTTTTTGGATGGCCTTTTGTGTGAATTTTAACATTTTTTACATAGATAAATAAGCTGAAATACATTTACTGTTAGCTATATGCATGTATATGCATCCATACATATGTATGGAGGCATAGCCTGATGTCTGTCAAGTTCAACGATATGCATCTAATTAATATTTTAAGTACGTCCTGGCCTTTGTGTACGACCCCCGACTTTGCTATGGCCTGATATTATCTCCTCTCTTTTGAGTTAGGCATTCGCTTACTTTTGGCACTGGGCATTTTGGGTTCCTTTTAGTGGTGGTTCTTGTTGTGACACCAAAAGTGAACTTTGAATCGAAGATCTTCTGCTCGTACGAGAATTAGTTATTTTGGTCAGCAGATATGTATATATACATATATGTATGTATGTACATATGCATATCTATACACAGATCTGTTGTGCTATGCATCCTACGTAATTTTCTTGGCCCCCTTCCAAAGTGCCAAACAAAATAATTGTCGCTGTCCCATTGATTGTAAACAGATGGTTTACATATAGTACATCATATATATGTGTATGTGTGTATATTAGTTTTTATGGGATCTGTAACTCGAGAGAGTATCTTTTAGCTGTCTTCTGCTGCAACCGAATTGAGGTATTTACTTTTTCTCTTATTTCGCTTTTATTATGCGCTTATTTTGCATTTTGTTTAAAGTCGCTGAGTTTGTTTTTCTGTCCACTTGAAATGTTTTCTCAACAAACTGTTTAAGGCACACACCGAAAAACTTTCCATTTTGTTGCCTTCATGGTTGGAGAAAGAAATAATCAAATTGAGATGAAACCTTGACACACCGACGTGACGAATACCTTTGAATATACATATATGAATATTAAACGGAATATTGGACAAGCGAATACCCTAGGCAAGGGAAGCTTTCCCAATTTAAATAACAACACACCTCTCCTATAATGCCTACCTTTGGGTCTGGCATTATGCAATGTTTGTTGCAGTTTTGTTTTGATTTTGCACTATTTTGCAGCGTCACTGATTCTATTGTGCACTTTTTCCGGGTCAACGGACTGCATAGGGCGGTGGCCAGGCGCCGACAACTTGACTTGTAAAGTGCACATTTGCCTTGAAATTGAATTAACCAGAGAGCCCGAGCAACAGCCGCCACATGAATAACCATAGTACAAATTTAGTTTATCGGTCACTCGCCTGTTGGGGTAGGGAATGTCCATTTGAATATGGTAAATGGGGAAATATAGGGAAGTTTTTCTAAGTTTTGTTTGTTTGCTTTCACAATTGATTTCCATTCGTGTTCATATCCACCTGCCCCAAAAATGAAAGTTTTTCTCTGCAGCGAAAGTCTGTGTCGTGTAGATGCGCCTTTCAGGTCCAAAATGTGAATCAAAATATCTGCCAAATGATATCCCGATTGTTTAATCATTGTCTGATTTTAAAGCTTACGCGGCAGCGGCACATATCGCGTGATATTCAAGGCCAACGTCACCAGACAAGACACACAAAGAGCGCAAAGGAGAGGACGAGCAACGAGCGACGAGCGGGACAACAATCACTTTCAGTCCAACAGCTTTTTCATTCATGCTAATGAGGTTCCACCTCTTCACCTCTCTCGCTTTCAAGTAACATTTACTGACTAGACGAAGTAGCAACAGTCTTCGATTTGCTCGGATCTACCCTCTACAGTACGTTTCGGCACTGTAAGCCCCCAATCTGAGAGATTTACAAGCTAATAATATGTCAATTATTTAAATTCATTTGGTTATCAAAGAGAGCTACCAGTATCCCGTAGTATCAAATGCGCTTTTCCAAATATTGTTTTTGTGTCATGTTACGCACTGTATTGTGCTAAATAAAAGAGAACACATCAGAGTGCCTGAGAGGCAACCGAGAGGTGCAGAGAGTCAAACTGGTTCTAAAATGGCCAGAACCGGCAAAATAAAAAAAATACATACAGACGCAGACGGATCTCCCATAAAGGGGGAGACTTTGGCTTGCCTACCCCCAAGGCAGCGCCCCCTCTGACGGCTCCAGCTGGCCAAGAATGCCATAAACAATCGGGCATTCCTTATGTGGGAACCCGAATAGACCTCGAGTATGGGAGGGAAAGACCCCACCAACCCACCACCCCACACCCAGCTTTGTTACTCGTTCTCCCCCCACACAACCTCCTCTGCATTCCACACCCATCGCATATCGCAATGCATGCATGCACACACACACACTCGCACACTCACACTGTTTATCGCGTGGCGTCCTCTACCCATTACGTCACTGGGCAAACAAACGCTCTGATTGGTTGAAAAACATCGTACGATAAATTTCTCAAAAGCGAAACGAGCAAAAAGAGACCCAGAAACTGAAATAATTAAAAAGCAAACGCTGATTCACGTCCCACTTCGTGCCACGTTCGCTAGCCATTCGGCTGCACTCGGTTAGAGTTCGTTGGGGGTTTCGTTTGGTCGTTCGTTTATTCGGCCCACAACTTGTTGAGCTTTTGCTGCTTTTGCTCCCACAGTTGTTTGTGTTGTGGCTGTGCGGTGCATTTACCGGCTTTTGATCTACCTCTCTCTCTCTCTCTGTGGCGCTCGTTCTCTCTCATCTGTCTTTGCTCTCTCGATTGTCACTTTATTTTTGGGTACTTGAGCACTTTGGGTATACCAACTCGGCCGTTGGCCCCGTACGCGGACGGGGGCTTAAAAGCCATGCTTGAGCATCAGGTAGAATGTAGGAAATAGCGTTAGATGTTCAAACAGTTATCGACGGAGGTCGCTTTGGCCATTAATGCGGCTTGCACATCCGTTTGATAATGAATATTTAAACGATGCGACGAAACGTGCCGCCCAGTCGTCTTCGCATGAAACGGAAACAAAAATGTGTATTTGTAGGCGAAGGTGATTCATAATATTAAAATTATCTTTGGGCACGTCTTGACACGGATTTGGATACATGTATGTAAATACATATGCATTACATATTTTCAGATAGCGAAAGATGCATATGCTGGCGATGACTATCGGTTCCAGTCATGCTTTGGTCATCGATAGTTGCAGCATTTGAAATTGCAACGGAAATTCATGAATTTTCTATATAATTTGCATACTTTATCTCTCAGTGGATAGAAAGATGAGTTGGTATACCTATTTTGAGCCACAAATATTGATAGATTTTTCCACTTGCTGCTGCCTTGCTTTGGTTGTTTTAACATTTTAACGAGTCACGGTAAAGAGGAGTGACTGCGTGACAGTGGCATGCTAATTAAGGAAGCCACCACCGGCACCTCTTACCACTCCCATCAATATGGGAGCTTACGTAAAGCACTCGAATATAGCATACTCATATTAACAATTTATTTATCTGGCTAATTAGCGTCTGCTGACGATAGAAATAGATAGAAAATTGGTACACACCATAAAATATCACGGGATCTTTAACTAGTATTAATATTGATAATTCGTTTTATTCCTTGCAGGGGTGCTGAAGGATGTGCAAGATGACTTTCAAATCGGCAACGATAGTGCGGGACTCCTACAGACAGTCTTTGTCATCTCGTACATGATCTGTGCTCCAGTCTTCGGATATCTGGGGGATAGGTACTCCCGGCCCTGGATCATGGCCGTGGGTGTGGCCCTATGGTGCACCACAACGCTATTGGGATCGTACATGCAAAGCTTCGGCTGGTTCATCACGTTCCGGGCTCTGGTAGGGATCGGCGAGGCCTCGTACAGCACCATAGCGCCAACGATAATATCGGATCTCTTCGTGAACGACATGCGATCGAAGATGCTGGCGATGTTCTACTTTGCCATTCCCGTGGGCTCCGGCATGGGGTAAGTTCTATGACCCACAGCGGCGGCAGCTGCTGGAGAGTAAACAGGGTCTTATCAGTGGGATCGTCTGGCTGTGTTCCGCCTTCGACTTTGTCACTCCTCGGCAATCGGTAATCAGCTGCTGGCATTACTTTAACAGCCGATTGGGTGCAAAGTTTGAGGCGGGATCGACTCAAGGGGATGCTGCTCTAATCAGCGTAGCGTGAGAAGAGTCACGTGACTTCACCCATGAGCACCTTCAATTAAAAGTGGAACTTGTAACTGGAATTGAAATTTAAATTGATTTATTTTTGCACTGAGGAGGATGGCCTTAATTCAATTAAAGTGGGGTCAATTGAGGGGGGCCTGCCGCGTTGATTGAAACTTATGCGTCGCCCCAATTGGCAGCCAATGCAATGGTGGTGGACCAAGAGTCAACTAATCGTAATCAACTCTAATGTTCTCCCTTCGAACCCTTCCAGATACATTGTGGGCTCCAAGACGGCTCACCTGGCCAACAACTGGCGCTGGGCGCTGCGCGTGACCCCCATTCTGGGCGTGGTGGCTGTGCTGCTGATTATGCTGATCAAGGATCCGGAGCGCGGCCATAGCGAGGGATCGCACAACATGGAGGCCACCTCCTACAGGCAGGACATCAAGGAGCTGCTCAAGAACCGCTCCTTCATGCTCTCCACGGCCGGATTCACGTGCGTGGCCTTTGTGGCCGGAGCGCTGGCCTGGTGGGGACCCTCCTTCATCTACCTAGGCATGAAGATGCATCCGGGCAACGAGAACATCGTTCAGGACGAGTAAGTGTGCCATCCTCCCCATGAAACCCATGAAACCCTCCCCCAGAAAGTCCCAAAATCCGAGCTCGGCGCCTTATACCTTACCTCTGGTTCTATCATCGAAGCATCTCGTACAAGTTCGGAATAGTGGCCATGCTGGCGGGCCTGATCGGAGTACCATTGGGCTCTGTGCTCGCCCAACGACTGCGCGGTCGCATCGAGAACTGTGACCCGTACATTTGTGCAGGAGGACTACTGGTATCCGCGCCCATGGTATTTGCTGCCCTGGTGGTGTCTCGGACTAGCGGATCGCTGTGCTTCTTCTTCGTGTTTTTGGCCCAAGTGGCGCTCAACCTGTGCTGGTCCATTGTGGCGGACATTCTGCTGGTAAGCTGGCCAAGAAGCGTTTGTTAGCAACAGAAGCAACAGCAGCAACAGCAGCAACAGCAAAAGCAGCAGCCACAACAAACAAGAAATCCGATTACTAATGCGCCCATCCCTAAGCCTCGATGAAACCTCGCAAAACTGTTTTCTTTCCGCCTAAGCTTTCTTTTCAAAAACTAACCACCAATCCAAAAATTTTCCCCTTCCCAAACCCAGCGTTGCATTCAATTTCGGAGTGATCACAATGGTGGCGGGCCTGCTGGGCGTGCCCCTGGGCTCGTTCTTGTCACAGTATCTGGTGAAGCGCTATCAATCGGCGGATCCAGTGATCTGCGCCTTCGGTCTGCTGCTCAGCGCACCGCTACTGTTCGGTGCCTGCCTGATGGTGTCGTCGAACGAGCTGGGCACCTATTTGCTAATATTTTTCGGACAGTTAGCTTTAAATTTGAATTGGGCGGTTGTGGCGGACATCTTGCTGGTAAGCCGAGAGGGAGAGAGACACACACACCTCCTCCAAGAATTTCTCCAGTCTTGCTTTTGTAATTTTGCACTCACTTTTTGTTTAAGTATCAATATTGTAAATTGTAACTGTAATTACAACACGTACAACATTTTATATTAATATTAACTTTTTACTGTTATAATGAGAACACCATCACACACCCACACCCACACACACACAAACATACAAGCATGCTTACACTCACACTCTAACCAATATATATTTTTGTGTTGCTCTCTTCCGCATCCTGTTCTACCGGTGGTGGTGGTCGTTGTCCCTGTCAGAGAACTTAAACGAAAGTTTTAACCCTGGAGTGGTACACTGACTTAATAACCCCCCTTTTAATGGTGCATATTTTAAGCTGCATTACTTGAAAACCTTAAATTTGTTTATAATTTTCAAGACTCGATTTCTAAATCATTCATTTCTCACTTTCTCACTTTTAAACTTACATGGATTTTCTTTTAAAGATTTGGCCTTTTTCCAACAATCTTAAAGCTGAGACATGCACTTTTCCCCTATATTTTCTCATTATTTTCCCCTTGTATTCCCCCGAGAGAGTTGACACTTCGCTTCTTATTGCTTTTTTTTGCAAATGTAATAAACGCAAAGCTCATCTTCATTCTATCTATTCTGCTTGGCATTTTCCTCCCTCTACTCCAATGGCAGCAAATAGGGGATGAAAGGGGAGTGTACCACCCCCAGACAACTTGCAACTTGGAATAAATTTCATCACACTCAACCCCCCAATGGGTAACTGGGATGGTAACCTTATTAAAGTCCCGCACTGCCCACAAACTGGCAGTGCATATCCACACCTCATATACCCGCCGACCCCCCCATACCACCGTGAAGACAAAATGTCGAAATTTTCGTACGCTTCTGTCTGGAAGTTTTTGGGGTCTGGGATCTTTATCTGCACTGGCGAGTCACGTTTTCTGGCTACGCACTGATAAGCGAGAGATAGTAGAACTGTAGTTACTCTTTATCACACATACATATGTACTAATAATATACTCTGTCAATCAGATATTGGTTGGTGCTTGATTACTTTGATTTCAGTACGATTCGATAATGAACCCTTGACGAAAGTAGATAAGTAGATAAGCAGAACTCATTAACGATTCGATAGTAGATTTATGATTTACATAATACAATAAGATTGATAAGTGAATGTGTATGTGGCAGCTGATATCCGATATTTGACCTCATTCGATATGTGACCTCAGTCGAGATACGATTGAATTACCATGAAGGGGCTATTGAGTTCCAGATAATCATACGATCCTTATCTTGTAAGATTCCACCTCTTATCTGTGCTCTACTTCTGACTTCGAGTCAAGTGGCCCTCTAGATATCTAAAAGATTTCTTCTTGGTAGCCTTGTCTGGCTTATGAATGGTCAGGGAAAGCTGTTTAAACAGCTGATGTGCGCAACCTATGCGTCAAGATAGTGGATATTACTTGTATTACACACATACATATGTACATATATACGAAAGTATATAGATACTGTATCCACTGCGTACTCGCAGACGTAATACTTTTTAAGTGGTATGTATGTTATTTGGCCTGTTCTAAATTTGGCACTACGTCAGACCATACTATATGTATGTATATATGCCCCTCTCAATGCATTATACTATTTTTTTAAATTTTTTTTCGGTGTCTCTTTTTTTACCACGCACTTGATTTGAGTTTTTTGTTGCCTTTTTGCGATTGCAAAACGATTCCGTTCCGTGACAAAAATAAGCAATCGAAAATGGTTATCTAACCCGAAAGAGTCCCAATGGGTATTGGCTCCACCCTTGGGTGGCGCTATTTTAATTGTTTCAGATAAGGAATTTTGATTAGAAACTGGGTTTATCTAGGGCTTTCAGTGGAATGGGTTGACCTAGACTAAAAGTTGGATCCGTCTAGAACTTCTGTTGAAATTTTAGGATTAGTTTGCGTAATTTTTGCTTCCGCTTTGGCACACATCTATGAAAATACACACGCACATGCACACCTCCCAACACACACACAAACACCCTATTGTAACAGTAAAAACTTAATTTAGCTCAAAGGAACAAATTTAACGTTAATTAATCAAAATTGGTAGATCAACAAAACAATGCCACAATCAAACAATTCAAATAGTTCCCATATCCTCCAGTATTCGATGTCTGTATATCCTTCAATGCCGATCGGCATTAACCGTAAAATTCTACATGTCGAAAGTACCGCTAGCAGTGCCAGAACTGTTCCCAGGCGCACGCTCGCCACCGCCATTGTTGACACGAACCTGCACGCCAGTTTGGGGTCGGACGGGACCGTTCCTTGTCCCCAGCATTCTCGAGTGGCTCCATCTGTGGCGAGCTTTTGGCAGCATCGGAGCTTGTTTGATTGTGGCTGCTTCTTGCACACACATACACGTACAAATGCACATAGCGCACTCTAGAATACACACGCACACCTACGCACCTTAATCGCACTTTATGTTTGTATGTAATATCGAACTATCGGCTGAGATGTATGTAGAATACTTCCCGAAGGAAACATCCCAGACGATAGTTTGATTTTTGGTTGTGGTCTTGGCTTTAAAATTTTGTGTGTGTTTCATTGTTGTTGTTGGTAAAACTGCTGTTGGCTTACATTTAATTTTAACACTGATCAATCCAAACTAAACTAATTAATATATATTTTCCCTTGTTATGCAGTATGTAGTGGTGCCTACGCGTCGCTCCACAGCGGAGGCCTTCCAAATACTCATCTCACACGCCCTGGGCGATGCGGGCAGTCCCTATCTGGTGGGAGCGGTAAGTTATTGGATCTCAAAGCTGTGGAAATCCATTTTTTATACATACATATATCTTTGTTTGTGCCCTACGCAGATGTCGGAGGTGATCATGAAGCATCTGCGCAACCATCCCGGCGCTTCGGGCTTGACAAATGAACTGCAAAGCATGTCTCAGGTGCTGGAGTCGCAACTCCTAAATGCCACGGATGTGGCCACAAAAGTGGCAACGGAGGCTATCCATTCGTTCCAAACGAATTTAACAAAATCAGCTGAACAGCTGGAAGGACAGGTGAGTCTTGGGAGTATTTTCTATGCTCGCCAATCTTAACTTTTGCATTTCACGCAGTTTACGGAAATCGAGCAGTTTGAGGGCCTTCAATACGCGCTGTTCTCCACCAGCTTTGTGGAGGTGCTGGGCGGCATCTTCTTCCTGTTCACCGCCTGCTTCATACTCAAGGACAAATACAAGGCCGCGCGAAGTGTAGCTGGTAAGGATCACCCATTATTCCGAGTGCTCTAGCGCATCCCTCTATCTATCTATGTATATGCATATCTATCTATCTCGTTGGCAATCTTCTGTCAATTTCGGTTCTTTTTTTGATTCTGTTGGTTTCGGCAGGCGATAAGAGACTGACGTCAGTGGCCGCGCAAGACGTTGAGTCTGTCAATTCGGAATGTTTCGTCCTGTGCACGGACATTGCCCTGCGAGAACGCGCGTGAGGCGCTTTTTAGGCGCTCTCAAAAGATTACTATTTTGGCCTCAGATCCCGCAAGGTGGGTTCCTCAAAATTCTCGTTTCGTTCTGTACGTTCTGTTATCCGTGCGTTTCATCGTTCAGCGTTGCGTTCTATTAATCTGACATGCCCGCATGGCCCGCCCTAACATCGAAATTGTCCTCAGTCCTTTCAGACATGGCTTTACATAATTAAAACTATATATGTGCCTTTGCTTAATGGGATATATCTAATGAATTGCGTTTCTTTTCGGATTTTACAGATGCTCAGGAGCAGCACCAGCAGCGGGGCAACCAGATTGCCTAATACCAGCCTATACTTGAGGTTATGCTGCGCACTCAGAGCACTGATGGCATTTTGGGTGAACTCATACTGACTGAAAATCATCTTTAATTTAATCTCCACACACACACACACACGAGACCCCCGGATTGGTTTCTTTTGGAATTTGGATCATAGGGAGGCATAGGGATGGATGCATGCTCAAGTTTCTATCAGAATGGAAAGGATAGAATAGCCCCGATATCCATACATACCTAAACAGTTCAGCTATGTAGATATATATACATACTTACATACGTACACTCTCAATCACCCACTCCCAAACTCGCGAGTCATATACATATACATTTTAATCGGTTCATTTTACCTGTAAACGCTAATTTACATAGTCGTAGATAGACCTAGTTCTGGTATTTTAGGCTAAAGAAAAATTAAAATGGAGAAAAAAAATAAAGCAAGCAAAAACACTTCATGCGTTTTCGAGGATGTCACTCCTCTACTTCACTTCACCGCTCTCCAATCAAGACCCAGACTGTTGTAAATAGTTAAAGAAATCCTATCTTCAGTGGCAGGAGTAACGAACGGATTATCTCAGGCAACGCATGGAACGCATGGAGTGTCAATTGTTGCTACATTTATACACATATAAAGTATGAATACATGTATACAGTATGAATACATATGATTTGTAAATATTAATAAGCATTGGGCCATTGTATAAGTTCATAGTCTCTATCCATAATCAATCTAATCGTAATTCTGTAATTTTATGTTAACTAGAACTTTAATCGTAATCTTAACTCTAGTTAGAATCGCGTAACAAATTGAATGAAATGTCTGCACCCTCAACTATTACTGAATATTACAAGTTAACTATTTAAACAAACGAAAAATCTGTATACCCTTTATACCCTACAGCATTAATCTGCTGGCATCATCTATGTTTTTTATGTTAACTCTTAGTCCAATGTTAGCCCCTTCAAAAACTGAAATTGAAAGCGACAAAAAGACTGCAAATAATCAAAATCGATATTCGTCTTAGGAATAACCAAAATATAGGGCAAACAAATATATATGAATATGATTTGGCAATTGATGATTACTGGGGCAATAAAGAATTTTTAAAAATAATCTGCAATAATTCTTTTAATTCGTTCGATATTTTTCAACGGAGGGAATCGGAAACAACTTACCCGGCTGATAAGCGAATTAGTCTGAGATTACGTACATATATTACGCATTCATATTTATATGTAAGTATATTTAGAATTCATAGATAAGAAATATTTATTTGCAAATATTTCCTCTTGATATGAAAATTTCAAAAAGGGCATGACTCGATCGTCGGCTCAAAGGCCTAATGTCTAATACTCTTTCTAAATAGAAAAGCAGAGAGTTTTGGAAAAAAAAATGTCGGCAAACAAAAGACAACACATTCTCAAATTTCAAAGCAGGTACAAGGCCCCGTTGAGGGCCGCATAGGCCTGAACCAATTGTTGGGCCATAGTTCGTTTTTGCGTTACCTAAGACCATGATCATTTTCTGGAAAATTCCATATCAGTTATTTGCATAAAGATAGATGCACATGATAAGGCTTAAAAATCCCTTATGAGAAATACAGGCAATATTTTACTCCTTCACTACAGAGTAAACATCAATTTTAAATCTTATCGACGCATCTAATCAACGAAGTACATACATATGTACGTATGTGTATGTATGTTTTGCACGTTTGTTTGTTTGTTTGAACGATAACGAGGAATTCGAATCGAATGCAAAAAGCTTCATTCCAGCTAAGCAACGCCATACAAGAAGCTGTACTTAAATTCATACATGCATGGATGTGTACAAAGGTATATATGTACATATTTATTTAGGTACAAGTGTGTATGTATGTATGCAGCTTTTTCCAGTCCACAAATAAAACGGAGTACAAAAGAAAGGTAAAGAAAATATTACATTTGTACTTAAGGAACAAAAAACCGTATAATAAAGGACCTAAAGAAAGAAAACCAAAAAAAGAGAAATTAGAGATCAAAAAAGAGAGCAACGAAATACAAAGAGAAACAAGAAAAAACGAGAAATTAAAAAAACCAGCGACCTTCTGCTGATTTCTGTTCGCCTGGTATCTCATTTCGAATTTAACGGTTTTCTGCCATTTGAGCGGTGGAAAGTGGAGGCAGAAAATGAGAGAAATTAGATCAAAAAAAGAGAGCAACGAAGTACAAAGAGAAACAAGAAAAAACGAGAAATTAAAAAAACCAGCGACCTTCTGCTGATTTCTGTTCGCCTGGTATCTCAGTTTCGAATTTAACGGTTTTCTGCCATGTGAGCGGTGGAAAGTGGAGGCAAAAAATTAGAGAAATTAGATCGAAAAAAGAGAGCAACGAATTACAAAGAGAAACAAGAAAAAAAGAGAATTTAAAAAAAGCAGCGACCTTCTGCTGATTTCTGTGCGCCTGGTATCTCAGATTTGAATTTAACGGTTTTCTGGCATTTGAGCGGTCGAAAGTGGAGGCAGAGAATGAGAAAAATTAGGGCGAAAAATAGAGCAACGAAATACAAGGAGAAACAAGTAAAAAAGAGATTTTAAAAAAAGCAGCGACCTTCTGCTGATTTCTGTGCGCCTGGTATCTCAGATTTGAATTTAACGGTTTTCTGCCATTTGAGCGGTGGAAAGTGGAGGCAGAAAATGAGAAAAATGGGAGCGATAAAAGAGAGTAACGAAATACAAAGAGAAACAAGAAAAAAAGAGAATTTAAAAAAAGCAGCGACCTTCTGCTGATTTCTGTGCGCCTGGTATCTCAGATTTGAATTTAACGGTTTTCTGCCATTTGAGCGGTGGAAAGTGGAGGCAGAGAATGAGAAAAATTAGGGCGAAAAAAGAGAGCAACTAAATACAAAGAGAAACAAGAAAAAAAAGGAACTAAAAAAAAGCAGCGACCTTCTGCTGATTTCTGTGCGCCTGGTATCTCAGATTTGAATTTAACGGTTTTTTGCCATTTGACCGGTGGAAAGTGGAGGCAGAAAATGAGAAAAATTAGGGCGAAAAAAGAGAGCAACTAAATACAAAGAGAAACAAGTAAAAAAGAGAATTTTAAAAAGCAGCGACCTTCTGCTGATTTCTGTACGCCTGGTATCTCAGATTTGAATTTAACGGTTTTCTGCCCATTTGAGCGGTGGAAAGTGGAGGCAGAAAATGAGAAAAATGAGAGCGATAAAAGAGAGCAACGAAATACAAAGAGAAACAAGAAAAAAAGAGAATTTAAAAAAAGCAGCGACCTTCTGCTGATTTCTGTGCGCCTGGTATCTCAGATTTGAATTTATCGGTTTTCTGCCATTTGAGCTGTGGAAAGTGGAGGCAGAAAATGAGAAAAATGACAGCGATAAAAGAGAGCAACGAAATACAAAGAGAAACAAGAAAAAAAGAGAATTAAAAAAAAGCAGCGACCTTCTGCTGATTTCTGTGCGCCTGGTATCTCAGATTTGAATTTATCGGTTTTCTGCCATTTGAGCGGTGGAAAGTGGAGGCAGAAAATGAGAAAAATGAGAGCGATAAAAGAGAGCAACGAAATACAAAGAGAAACAAGAAAAAAAGAAAAATAAAAAAAAGCAGCGACCTTCTGCTGATTTCTGTGCGCCTGGTATCTCAGATTTGAATTTAAAGGTTTTCTGCCATTTGAGCGGTGGAAAGTGGAGGCAGAGAATGAGAAAAATAAGGGCGAAAAAAGAGAGCAACTAAATACAAAGAGAAACAAGAAAAAAAGAGAATTAAAAAAAAGCAGCGACCTTCTGCTGATTTCTGTGCGCCTGGTATCTCAGATTTGAATTTAACGGTTTTTTGCCATTTGACCGGTGGAAAGTGGAGGCAGAAAATGAGAAAAATTAGGGCGAAAAAAGAGAGCAACTAAATACAAAGAGAAACAAGTAAAAAAGAGAATTTTAAAAAGCAGCGACCTTCTGCTGATTTCTGTACGCCTGGTATCTCAGATTTGAATTTAACGGTTTTCTGCCATTTGAGCGGTGGAAAGTGGAGGCAGAAAATGAGAAAAATGAGAGCGATAAAAGAGAGCAACGAAATACAAAGAGAAACAAGAAAAAAAGAGAATTTAAAAAAGCAGCGACCTTCTGCTGATTTCTGTGCGCCTGGTATCTCAGATTTGAATTTAACGGGTTTCTGCCATTTGAGCGGTGGAAAGTGGAGGCAGAAAATGATAAAAATGAGAGCGATAAAAGAGAGCAACGAAATACAAAGAGAAACAAGAAAAAAGAGAATTTAAAAAAAGCAGCGACCTTCTGCTGATTTCTGTGCGCCTGGTATCTCAGATTTGAATTTAACGGGTTTCTGCCATTTGAGCGGTGGAAAGTGGAGGCAGAAAATGAGAAAAATTAGGGCGAAAAAAGAGAGCAACTAAATACAAAGAGAAACAAGTAAAAAAGAGAATTTAAAAAAGCAGCGACCTTCTGCTGATTTCTGTGCGCCTGGTATCTCAGATTTGAATTTATCGGTTTTCTGCCATTTGAGCGGTGGAAAGTGGAGGCAGAAAATGAGAAAAATGAGAGCGATAAAAGAGAGCAACGAAATACAAAGAGAAACAAGAAAAAAAGAGAATTTAAAAAAAGCAGCGACCTTCTGCTGATTTCTGTGCGCCTGGTATCTCAGATTTGAATTTAACGGTTTTCTGCCATTTGAGCGGTGGAAAGTGGAGGCAGAAAATGAGAAAAATTAGGGCGAAAAAAGAGAGCAACTAAATACAAAGAGAAACAAGAAAAAAAGAGAATTAAAAAAAAGCAGCGACCTTCTGCTGATTTCTGTGCGCCTGGTATCTCAGATTTGAATTTAACGGTTTTTTGCCATTTGACCGGTGGAAAGTGGAGGCAGAAAATGAGAAAAATTAGGGCGAAAAAAGAGAGCAACTAAATACAAAGAGAAACAAGAAAAAAGAGAATTTAAAAAAAAAGCAGCGACCTTCTGCTGATTTCTGTGCGCCTGGTATCTCAGATTTGAATTTATCGGTTTTCTGCCATTTGAGCGGTGGAAAGTGGAGGCAGAAAATGAGAAAAATGAGAGCGATAAAAGAGAGCAACGAAATACAAAGAGAAACAAGAAAAAAAGAGAATTTAAAAAAAAGCAGCGACCTTCTGCTGATTTCTGTGCGCCTGGTATCTCAGATTTGAATTTAACGGTTTTCTGCCATTTGAGCGGTGGAAAGTGGAGGCAGAGAATGAGAAAAATTAGGGCGAAAAAAGAGAGCAACGAAATACAAAGAGAAACAAGAAAAAAAGAGAATTTAAAAAAAGCAGCGACCTTCTGCTGATTTCTGTGCGCCTGGTATCTCAGATTTGAATTTAACGGTTTTCTGCCATTTGAGCGGTGGAAAGTGGAGGCAGAGAATGAGAAAAATTAGGGCGAAAAAAGAGAGCAACGAAATACAAAGAGAAACAAGTAAAAAAGAGAATTTAAAAAAAGCAGCGACCTTCTGCTGATTTCTGTGCGCCTGGTATCTCAGATTTGAATTTAACGGTTTTCTGCCATTTGAGCGGTGGAAAGTGGTAGGCAGAAAATGAGAATAATGAGAGCGATAAAAGAGAGCAACGAAATACAAAGAGAAACAAGAAAAAAAGAGAATTTAA